TTGTGAAGATTTGAATTCTGATCACAAGTGTCTTATTAAATAAACCTACAGAGGTGCACTGGCTCTCCCGCGGGAATACGACAAGAAGAGTCTTCGAACTTCGACAAGAACTATTCACAATTTTCAAAGATAAGATACCCGAATTTCAAAAACGATTTGGAGATCAAGGAGGTTATCTTACAGTTGATTCACTCGGATATTTTTTGGCTCTTAATCATATGAATCTTTCGTTTCGATGGCCAAACATGTCAATCTAATTGCAAAACAGATCTATCGAAGACTTCGTCTCGGAGCTTGAAGCGTTCGCTTGGATACTGGACATTTGGGTGAAAAATATGGAGAACAAACGTTAAGAAATGTTCGAATTCCCTATCACTATTCCGAAGTAGCACAGTGAAAAATTATATCAAGAAATTCCAGATCATCTAAGATTGCTGAAAACGGAATTGATGCATTATTTAACGGATATTATATATTGCCCATATACATGGGTAATACGTTCTCCGTCGATCCTACCTGTAGGAACTGGTGAACGAAAAGAGATAATTGATATTCAAACTGATGAAACTACAAAATTTGGGCACAATATTGCTCACCGCTTTATTTCTAGCAAAAATCGCCCACTAGTTACTGGACACTAGCCCGTAATGCTGTTCCTGAACTATTGGTGGTCTTTCACTCCACGTGGGAGCGCGAGCAGAGGTCTTAGCCATTATGAGAACTAAAACCAAAAACCGAAATGGTCTAATACCTAAATGATACTGAACATTATTTCCGTTGTGCTGTGAAAGGGGCCATGCCCGAACAATCCAGCTTGCAGAGAAGAAACACGTTCAACCTTCGTAAACCCTAATGCTTTATATAAATCGCGTTTTCTTTGCCAGAATATAATAATATATACATACGTTTCAGTAAATTCATTTGGAGACTAGGTTAGATAGTTCGCGATAGCGGCTGCCGCCGATCTAAGTGTATTCTCTCGGGTTTGCGATAATTAATTTATTCAGTGCTGCCAGAATTATCCTTCGCGTTCATGTAAAATGTACTGTGATGCCATGAACAAATTTTCTACTCGCACCCAATTACTTATGAATAAAATTATCTTTTCATTTTTTTAAATAAACGAGTCTACGATAAGCAATATCTGAAATAATAAAAAATATTAATTTTTAGAATCGTTTGTCGCTTAAATAAACTAGTACAGAAATATATATTGTTATATTTCTCATGAAATAAATGCACAAATTTTTTTTAAGATTGAAAGAGTAGAATTTTACAAATCAGACAAGTCTAATTTTACCCTTTTAAACGGTAAATATTGTGGACCTGATTAAAAAAATTATAAACCGTTTATATTTTAGAAAAAGTCTTCACAATTGTAATAGTTCAAAACTGAATGTCGAGCCCCAATGCCTGGAGGCCCCTAGGGGGCCCTGCTTATTGGACAATATCGCATCGTGTTATTTCCCATATATATATATCTCAAAAGGTGAGATTACCTAGGTAGAACTTTTATGTCGCATGTTAAACCCGGTTTCAAGTTTTGACAACATCACTGATGTCTGTCCAGTGCCCCACGTACTTGTCTTGTGTGTTACCATTTTTTTGTAATCGTCTTATTTTGTAACTGATAATTTGAATTTATCCCGGCGAGGAGGAGCACCAATGAAACGAATTCAATTGTATGGCGATATATTTTCGGTAACTTGTCCACATCGGGCATGGGGTGTGCATACCAATTTATCGTTATGGATTTATAAACTGGAATAGTGGTGAACCACCTTGCGACAACCTATAGAGCAGTGGTCTTCAAACTTTTTGAGACACGACCCCATCTACAATATTATTACGTATGATAAGCACTCGCGACCCCAAGTTATATATATATATATGTTCACCTACAGACAGGAAAAAAATATTTATCAAATTCGGAAATTTATTAAAAGAACCCAACAACAACCAAATTTAATCAGTGTGAAGAATGCGACTGCTTCCTTCCAACGAGATCTTGCATTCGTGGCTTAATGTTGCTTAAGCTCAAACGCAAATCGATTATCAGACCGCTTAGCGTGAAATATCCATAATTTTTTCTTGGTATTTTCTAAACCACTGTATAAGACACACCCCTTTTTTCTGGTGGCAGTACTAAGCCTCAAAAGTGCGTGTTGTACACAGAGAAATGAGGTAACTCTACTTTTTGTAGAATCACCTAACTACACACTTAACGAGCCATGTAATAACGTATAGTTGAGAACTTTGAACATAATTTTGGTTGATTGAATATTAAAACTCTGGTACTGCATCAATGTTTTAATATCTGAAATTGAAAAACACTAAATCGCAGTTTTAGCTATGTATATTCATCAACTATTGCCTATGAAACTTGCTGTTTTCATCGAGTTTTCAACTATTAGGAAATATTTTGAATGACTATAGAATGTATAGACTATAAATAAAATTGAATTTTTGATCTGAGATTTGATTTATTTAGAAGTCTCAGTTGACTGTACTATATTTTTGAAATATGTATTTATTTTGTCATTCCCTATTAATTCAAATAGGCCCTAATTCAAAGATTGTATTATGTTAACTAACTTGTTAAATAATCCCCCTCCTTACATTATTATATCTTTAAAACTGTTATGTGTAACCCATCAAATAATTATTATAATTAATCGAGGTAAAAATCTATACACAGCCTTTTTTCTCATGACTTCCGAATGTCTTGTCATAATAGGAATTTTTCTTTTTTTAGGTGTCGGTCGACATAGTTGACATGCAGTCTTGCCCGCCCCTCCCGATTATATTCTATAATTGTTCTTTTCCATTTATTGTAACTTTACATTTTTTGATATATTCGGAAAATAAATCATTATATATCTATGTAATGTTCATGATTGTCATCTGCGGGATTACAGCCTGCGAGAGCATGATTTTATCGCCACAGATGATGTTAACGCTAACAAAATATATACCACAATATTGAAAGATTGTGTACCCATACAGTGTTCAATTTGAATATTGTTTTGAGTAGGTCAGTATACCAGACCGTCGAAGACCATCGGGGCAAAGAACGACACGCCAACTTTCGAGCTCGACTGACAGACTATAAGTAATTATGTTAGTGTTGGCAAACACATACGCAGGAAAGTAATTACTTTGAACCAATTACATAATTCAATTATAAGCTAAAAAACGATCATATCAGCAAAATCCGCCTCTGACTAGCCCATGAAAAGAGGCTGAGAACCTGCAAAGGGGATTTCCGATTGGACATGTGCGTCATCGAAACTGCTCATCCACGCGCAGCTGTTGGCGAAATGCATACTAATTTGCGGAAATAGTTTATTTGAGCAAATCATTGTTTATAATTTAGAGGTAGTTTCAATATTAGTAGTAATAATTTTTTTTTTCGTAATAGCATGACTTATTTAAAGAAATTTTTTTTTTTTTATATCATACTATGATGTTCAATATAAAAAGCAATGTTTTTATTCCACCGAAAATATATCTGTTTTTAGTGTGACTACTATATCACGGGTTCTTGTTGTTTCGTAAAATGTGACTCCGTCATTGGTGGCCGCGTTTTTGTTTCAAAGGCGTGACGTCGGTTGCCCGAGGAACGGGGTCGGATATCTCATTTCGGAAAGACAGAAAAGAGCGGCTTCGGCGCGTTTAATTAGATTGGAATTTGAACTATTTAAATTTATAGTCGTGGTCATCATAAAAATCAATTATTATATGTAGCCTATGCCGTTATGTATATTATATTTTGATTGCTACATCCAGAATTCTCCGATTTAAATTTGTGTCTGGTACCAAATTAGTACAGTAGTAAATACAGAAATAGCTAGACCTATCTTTAAGCAACAACTGACAAAGTCAGCATGTCTCCGAATTTCATAATTTATTTTAAGTTCACCAAATTCTCTTGACATCCTATCGCTGCCAGGAGTTATCTCAGTATTGTCCAGATTGCTTGATTGTGATTTACTGATTGTTTGACCAAAAATTATATTGTTCATTACCTGGTACAAAGTTAGTCGGATCTCTTTTTTGACCTACCTCTTTTTTGGTGATACTGTCCTTTTTGAACTAAATGATTTCATTTTACGTTTTAAGGCTGTAAGGGAGTTCTGGGAATACAGGAATAGGGAAGCTGTTAGGCCTACACGTTAGGACAGCTTAATCATATGGCGAACCACGGCCTCTCGTCCGGTCAGTTAAGATATCCTTAATTTTGTATATATGTCTGTATGTTGTAATGCTTGTTCAATAATGAATAGCATTTCCAATATTTTTTACTGCATGGTATCGTTACTAACAAAACAATATTCATTAATATAATCTAAATAAATCGTGGCCGTCATGTCACTAAAATTGCCATTTTTTGCTCTAAAAACTATCGAATGCAACGATAAAATGTTTTTCCTTCGATAAATTGGATTCTTTTTTCAATGATGACATTTTTAGATTGCGTTTCTTTTTAGTTTATTGCACAACTTCATTTTACTGTATTCTTACAGATATTGAGGGACAACAATGTCAGAATGTCCAGACGTCCCTGAAGAGGAGGGGAGACAATGTCTCTCGTTCTGTAAAGTGTGTCGTACTGGAATCTGAGAACCATGCCCTACTGCAATATGTCCCAATATCACATTTTGTATAATTTAAAATGTTGAACAACAAAACATATAACTTATTTATTATATAATTTGAATTAATGTAATCCATCTTGATAGTTGTTATTCTGAAAATATCTTGAGAAATTATTTTCGAATATCGATTATATTCTGAAATAGTTTATATTCGCTTCATCATTCACTGTTAATTAAAGGTAGGAAGTTGATAAAAATAAAGGAGTGTTTTTAATTGTTTTTCCATTAACACATGTGGATATGCCATGGAACAGAAACGTATTTATTTTAAATGAAAATATTCTAAATTATCCCTAGAATTAATTTCATGAAACTAATTCTTGAAAACTGGCAACCTAATTTCTTTGTAACCAATTTTTTAACAGGTTGCACCTAAACTACCGTAGGTAGAAAAATTAGCCTAAGTTAAATATGGCTTTCCAATCGACTATTGATATGCTGCAGTAATCAGCATCATTCGACTCAGGAGTCATGACTTTCTTTGTAAGTCTGGAAATACAAGTCCATCCGCGTCTTAGCGTCGCTGTACGAACTTACAAACCAAGTTTTGTACCTGCTGTCAACTACAATACCACTCGTAAAAGCATCCAGAAGAGTCAAACAACGATTGACCTTCCGCTCTGCGAGTGCCTGAACGACTTTGGCCTGAACTCTGACCTTGGATTTTAGATCATCCCTTATTTATTATATGTAAGTAGTGGCAATTATTGTTCATCTATTGTTGTCTTCAAGAGATTTTTTAATGTAAATTAAGCATTTGAAATTACAATACAATTTTATTTTGATCTTTCTTCTACAACACAGAACACAAATAAAAAACACAGACAAGGGTGACGAAAATATCTGGAAAATAGACAAAACCTAGAGAAGGGTTTATAGCGAACGCTACAAGCATTCGTGCTCATTTACCCACGCTCACCGAAGTGGAAAACATATCACGAAAATTGAAAATTTCTTAACCATTGAGACATAATTCTTTTTTTCTAAGAAGATTTTTCGAATTTTGAATACAGAATATTCGCCAGAATAGGTGTTGTTTATCATGGAATAATAATGCTTGAATATGTAGCTATACCAGTGGTTTATCTATGTTGCATTCTGATATAATTTTGTGTTATTTTTGTTGCGTAAAATTGTAGTTTCGTAAAAGTATTTATTTTTAAAATGAGAGTGTACTATATTCCTAAATCGTTATTTTTTTACGGACATTATTTGAAGTGGCATCTAGGTTTTCAATTTACATAATGCCTATTATATTAAAGTCCAAATTTCAATAGTAATGAAATGATAACATATTCCGTATCTTCCCACCCATGAGGATCGGATTGTATATTTTGTAAACAAAAATGATTTATTTGACTGAGTAAGGCAAGTTTTACTGATCATATACAATCGTCGTCTGTCGTTCTATTAAATTTTAATGATATAGGCCTATTGTTTGTTGTTCCTATTAATAAGTTCTGTTATGACTTGTCGGCAAACTCATTGAACTATTTTGATGATTCATTGTGTTTTTATCAAATGACTAAACATTTAATATGGTATTTATTATGCCAAAGTTAACTAGTTATTGCAATAGGCTTATGCTTCATCATAATGGAATTGTTCGTTATTGGGTATTGTTGAATTTTGAGTGTTGTTTATTTTTTTAGATTATTTGTTATCGGAATCATGTCTGGTTCTGGGCTCAACCCTGTCCAGACCTGGCTTTGGTCAGAACTTGATGATCTTGGTATTGATGGAGTGATTTACAGTCGACATATTCTTGATCTTCTGATCAGTTCCAAACATTCTGTCGACTATCTTTTGGACAAGAAAGAACAAGATATTTTTTCAAAAATCACTCCAAGTACAAAAAAGAGGTAATTTTCTCTTTCATTCATTTTTTTGTAGTGGAATTTATTTCTAGTGGAAAAGGAGAAAAATAAAAATATTAAATTTTGTTTTAGTAATTTATTTCCTTTATGAATATTATTACTGGTGCGCTGTCTTCAGGTTTCATCCAGCATAGTCATTTGTGAACAAAAAGTATTGAACTAGTTTGAACTGAACTCATTTGTTGTGTATCATATTATATTATCCTGTGCGCTACATAATTTAATGGGGATAATCTAGTCCTTATCTGGCATACAAAACAGATTTATTTGAATATCTCAATTGTACCATATTATTTAATTCATTTTTCCCTACAATAATATGATACTGATGAAAATATATTATAAGTTTCATTTGTGAACTATTATTCTCCCCGGGTCTAATTCTGGAAAACCAATCAATGATTTTAGAAATCTTGTTGTTATTGTTGTTGTAACAATGTGTTGTTGTTGAACTATTTATTTAGAAAGTGCCATTCTCAGGTAGTATTGCCTGCTACAATTAACACATTGATAAATCATATTTGTCATATTTATTGCCACCTAGGCTAAAGTCACAAATGCTTTTCACAGCTTTAATTCACAGGAAATGGAAATGGTTTACACTTATTTATCTTGGGTTCATATTTTATTAATAATGAATCCTAAATTATAAACGATCCAGGAAACTTACATTACATAAAGAGTTATAGATATTTTATAGCACTACTTTTTATTGCCTCATTATGAATTTTTATAATATTTTGGTTTTTGACGTTATTATCTCATGTTCTGAGGTCATATGGCTATGATTTATGTACTGAAATGAAATACAAATGCATTAGTAATATTCTTACAACTTTTTATTTTATAAACTATTGATAATAATATTGAAATTCACTGTAGTAAGATGTCTGGATGACATTACTAGATTGTGCAATGTTCGTGACATTACACTCTGGTTTTTGACATTATTATTTCTCATGTTATGGTTGTTATATTATGGACCAGAATGCATTAGTCTGATATCATGATACCAAAATATATCGTAGTAAAATGTCTGGACGACATTACTAGATTGCGCAATGTTAGTGACATGACCTGATAGTGCCGGTAATTTACAAATAAATTATGCCTGGAGCATATTTTGACTGCGGTAAAGCATAAAATTATGTTTTTTTATAGTTTTAATCATTCAAATCACATAATTTATATTCACATGAGACTTGAAGAAATGAATTTCGTAACCTTGAATAATGGATGAACCCTGTGTTTTCAATTCTAATTATCTGACCTTATATCCGTGTCCACACTTTAATTAATGTATTATTATAAATCACAAAACTGGAAATGCCTCTTTTAAAATTAGTTGAGATAAATATGAGGATTCAGCACTTTCTTCTTTCACTTATATAAGTGTTACATGATATAATGTTTTTTACTTGTAAATTTTCAAGAACTGCAGTTTATTAATAGATTCTAATTATAGGGAATAAAGATTCAGAATATTTTGATCTGTATCTAGTTTAGTTTTGTAGGGAAACAGCTTATTTAACGACCTTTATTTTTGCCCTTCCATTTCAGTCACCATGAATATATCCATTCTATACAGAATTTACATTTTCTTCTCAATATTTGGAATAGTTCACATCGAAAATTTGTTTTTCTATTCTGTTAAACTATTAAATGAATTTTTATTTGATTCCCTTACCATCCTTATTAAAATTATCAATTTTAATGGTATAAATTTGTGATTATAGTTTTTTTTTTTCACAAAACATAGTCTTAAAATAATTATCAAAATAATCCAAACATATCCAGCATTACAGTGGAATTTATATATTATATTAATTATTAAGTGATATTACAAAGACAATGTTGTCGTTATTGATTACGGTCAATCATTCGTAAGAAATGACAAATCATATATTAAAGTGTGATCTTTAATCCCTGGCTTAATTGCAATCAATATGCCAACTGTCATCAATTCTGAAACGTTTTCGTCATGGTGATTAATCTAAAATCTTACAAATCATTATTGGATAATAATAGGTTCTATGTTGCATCACTCTTTTCATATTTAAGTGAATAATTATGACATACATGGTTGGATTGTTGCTTTCTATTAACTCCCAAAACTCAAGCTAAAAGTTAATTGTGTCAGATCTGTACATTCTTATTTGACTACAGAAATAGGATTGAGTGCTTCTTTGTCCTCATTCATATCAGATGAGGAACTTGCATATGAAAGTAAGCCATGAAAATGGCATGGACGATCACAATTTTCTTTCAGTCATAAATATTATCATTTAATAAATTCAAATTTGATGTCATTTTTGATTATTTAATGGAAAAACTCATTTGTACATAATACATTGGCATTCATTGTTATTTGGCCATTGATATATTTATTACACAGTGACTTTTTTCATGTCTGTTTTATTTTCAGTCATGCATTATTATTAATAATGAGCCAATATGGGGTCACCTAATATGTCATAAAAACATAGAAAAAGAAGTTAATATTAAATTAACTTCAATATATTTTGGCCATGTTAACATTCAGCAATAAAAGACTTTCTTACATCTCAAATGTTCTTTGACGTAAACGTAGCACAGCGCCTCATCAAACAATAAATCACGTTTCTCAGAAGGATAAATCAATATTATCATGTTTGTCATATGATCTGGATGCAGTATTATTGATATATGTCAGCTTTCGAAATATCTTGCTCAATGTTCATAAGAGGTGGTATTAAGCAATGACTCAGTCTATGTCATTCTAATGTCATGAACGTATACGTGTTCTTCTCATAACAATGATATTTTCAACACTTTTATGATTTCAAAAAAAGGGTATGATGTTGTAATATAAATTTATAATCATATTTTCATTGATGTATTCTTATAAAATATCTCATGTCATGTCTGGGAAAAAGTATTATTTGAATTTTTCACAGTATTTCAATCTATGAGTAGCAATAAATAGTTGGTATTCAATTTAAATTGTCCAATATCACATGGTGACCTTATTATTATCTATTATTTGAAAAAGCAAGATTAAATTGGCCACAGTACAGGCAGGCAGGTAATATTCTGAATCCAGAACAATTAATAAATCTAATTTTATGGTAGATATGCACCAATTCTATGCTTCAATTTTGTTGCTAAATTTTCTTTTCAATGGACTAATTTTTATCCAAAATTATATATGAATTTTTCATTTGCTCTTTACTTAATTGATGAATCCTCCTTAACAACAGTTTGGCATTGGCTTTTATTTAATTACCGGTAATTGAAAAGATATTGTGGATACAAGCTAAACATGACCTAGCATTGAACGAAGCAAGTGAAAGAATGCTTCAAAACCTATTTTAATATCGGGCGGGAGCTAGCCTACCCTTTGAAACATTTACTTTCACGTACCCTAGTTCGTGCCATGATTTATAGTTAATGATTACCAAGTTTCATTTGAACAGGTTAGGGGTTGCTTATCTCATTACATCATGATTCAACACTTTAAATGCTTAAAATTATATCTGTTATATTGGTTAGACTTAATAAAAATCGTTTGACCAAAGCTGTTATTATTATTAGATTCAATTTTTACCCCTCCATCTATTTGACCCATTAACTTTAAAATGTGAGGGGTTCATTAGGATGGAGGTATCTCTTAGAAGACTATACTCTTATTTTTCCTCTTTTTTTTCCAATTTACCAAGAGATTGTCTTTTGACTTAAATTTTACTAGTTTTAAAGAAAATGCACCATGTTGTATATTTTTTGCTATTAATTTCGCAACATGATACATATCAGCCAATAAGCCATACATTTTTACATTGCCCTATTATTTAGATATGTTTAGTTTTTTTTCTGGGATACCTAGGGCCAGTCGTTTTGCCCCATCTTGAGGGTTTTAAATAAAAATTGTGCCTTATATTTTTCCCTTATTGATTTCAGAGAGAAGGTGCTTATGAAGCCATATATTTTTACATTGTCTACTTTAATACTTTTTGTCAGGTATTTCCCAAAGTTGGTCTGATTCTGAAATATGCAAAAAATTTCATTTTTTATTTTCAGAAAACACAAATATTCGAGACGATCAAGTTCATTCTCTGCATGCGAAGAAATTCTCTGGAAAAAAGAAATCGCAGTCGCTTGTTTACTTTCTGCTGCTGATACGAAAACCAACACAGAAGACACAGCAAGTACTATTCAACAGGTTGTTGATGAATTGTATGGAAAACTTGCTGGACTTCATCTCACTTCAGGTTGGCAAACATGATTTATTTACTTATTATTGAGTGGCTCATTCATTGCTAAAGTTCAAGAGACGTGAGTTCAATTTTCGGTACTCCCGTAGTATATCCCTATAATTTTATTCTGATTTTCTTTGTTTTAGTTCTATTACGGGTTCAGGGACTGTCTTTGTTAGCAAAGTGAATAAACGTCCTGCCCATAGGCTTCTGTCCCTTTACACAACTTGATGTGAAGAAGGCGAACAAAATTAGTTACCTCCATATTGGTACACATATTTCTGGAGCGCCAAAAATTGTACCCTGCATTTTATGGCCCCACAGACTAATCAATGGGGGGATTGTTACCTTGTAATATATTAGCAAATGATTCGAATAAAGAAAAGTTTGTCTAATTACAAAACCTTTGTCTGTTTGGAAGTTCAAGTATGTAGAACGTTGGTTTTCAACCTTATTTATGAGTGGAATATCAATGGAACATTTCTGTGGCTTGAGGAACCCCTGTGTAGTTCTCAAATTTTTTAAGCCTCCAACCAACTCAAGAAAAAAAATCTACAAATAACAGATAGGTAACAGACAGTAAGGTGAAAATTGTCTACGCCCCCCTTGTGCGGCGTGCCCCACCGTTTGAGAACCACTGCACTAAACCATCGTTTGATTAATAAAATGAAATTCTAATAATTGCATATTTATATGTATAATGAGCCTATAATGAGCGATCCTAATACAGACAAAACAAAATGATTTTTTAAGGGTAGCGAGTTTAATAATAGCAACAAATCTAATAGGTATTTGATTATATACAAACAATGTACCCATAATATGAAGGACTCCAGTTTTGAATGTAAACTTATGGAACCTTTGAACTGTTCTGCTGAATCTTCTGAATTGATGTATCTTGAAATTGAATTCTACTATAGGCTATATTTAGTTTGCAAAAATTGTTTCAATTCTTATTTCTCTGTGATTATAATAAATGTCTAATTTAATTAAAGTTTTGTGCAGAAGATTCATTTATTTTGATTTAACTCCTTCCATTCTATCAATAATATTCAAGTGTTTCAAATTTCAATATTATCATAAAATACAAATAAAATACAATCATAATTATTAATCATTTTTCATCATAAAATATACAATATTCTTCCATGCATTCATCGATTTGAAAGATCTGTTGATTCTAATTTTATGTTTTTGCTCAACAAAAAAATTGTGTTGATTTCATTTAGAATACCCAACTTAATAATAGTTTTTAGGATCATCATATTCATTAAAATAACATTCAGCATTGATAGCACAATCTTGATGACTCATATCGTCCAATATTATCCTTCTTATAAGATTAATGATTATTCAATGCTTTTAGGTTTTCTTAGACCTATGAAATGAAGGAAAAAGGCTCTTATCTGGCTTATAATTTATACATAATAAAACAATGATGATGCAATATTATAATGCTATTTCGCAAGATTTTTAGTTGAGATATTCTGTTAGTTCACCATAGTCACTACGTCAAGTCATCTCGTGATAGGGGCTTTCCAAAGCAACTCTTCTTCTTTTGCCAAATAAGGAAGTTTGTTGTTGTAACACTGATAATGAAAACAGTTCGTTTCCTTTTTGTCACAATTAATTTGACATAGCAATTATAGGACGAGTATGATCATAGATAAAGACATGTCTTATCCATGGCACTTGTATAGTTCAATGTAATATACTTCATAAGAAAAATTGTAGTGACGAAATTTATGGTTTTTCCCATTGGGAACATTTTTCTAGAGCTATATTGAATGATGTATATTGGTTCTAGCTTCCTTGTATATTTTATTAGAATTAGTTTTGACTGTGACTGAGCATTTACTGAGTATCTTTCGTTATATCACTGTTGAGTAGAAAAGAAATTGAGTTACAATGAGTATAATAGAAACAACGTTGCTTTCAGATATCGTCCAACCGAGGTCTGAAGGAGATTGTCCATTAACTGATTATAATGGAAATAATGTGGATACGGTTGACCGACAAATTGTAGCCAAGTCGAAAAAGAAGGAAAATTACGAAGATGCATTTCCTTCACTCGATGGCTGTAGTGGTTCTCCCGTTAACAATGAGTTTTCTGAAACTATTTGGAATAAGTCGACAGCAGCAAAGAGAATGGAGCCCAGGTTAGTATTATGGATGAATAAATTACCAATAAATTGCTTATTGAAATTATTATTAGATTATTATTTTTCCATGAAGAAATTTTCTGTTTTGTGGTGCATCATAAATTATCAATCTTTTATGCTGAGTAAACATTTTCAAGCCTATTTGTGATGGCTAAACAAAATTCAGTTTAATTTGTTACCTGATGTGGATAAAATTTCAGTTATTTTTCCTCTTTTCTCTCGATTAAAATAGGAATAGATAAAATATAACAACAGTATTGTTAATGAAAAGTGTGTTTGGTAATTTGTCAACAGATCTGGACATAATTCCGATAATGCTTCGAAGATCAAATCTTCTCCACAACCTGATAATAAAAAGGTCATACAATCTTCCCAAAATAGGACTACGACTAAGAAGAAAACTAGGTTTCCATCCTCTAAGCCTCGTTTCTCTGGAAGCCGATCTGATGATGAAAATCCTGTTATGAGCAATGTCAAAAGATCTCTGTACTATCCTATCTACCCACGTAACAGCTTCAGACAAAACCGTGTTTCTAAAAAATCCAGACCTATATCGTCCAATTCTTCAGAACCTAGAACACAAACTGGTGGAGTGCAAACAACACGGCGTCCACTGCGTCCTAAATATAATCAGAATACTCGGTTCCAGTCCAAAAGAAAGCTTGATTTCAAAAAGAAAAGTGGCGAAAAAACGATTGCGCAAAAAAGGAAATTTCCTGCTTCTGGAGATAGCGTGAGAACAAGCAGAGAAAATCCATTTTTGAAAAATTGTTCATCAGAACAGGATTTTGGGTATGGGAGTGAGGAAATACAATTGGATTATGCTCATCTTCCTTCGTGGATGGAAACTAGTCTCATTGATGTTTCAAACCCATATATTTGGAACTCTTATCAATTTGGAGTCGCTGAAGAGCAACAAGAAATCTTACCTGATGACAACGACAGTGAAAACCCAAAAGAAATGCCATTTTCAAGTCGTTGGTATCGCGATTCACAAACTGGACTTCTTACTTTTCACCCTCTGAAGACTTCTAAAGATGAATCAACGTCATCTGGGTCCGCAAGTCAAAGAACTTCATCACTAAGTGAGGAGGATGATTGTAATGATCTAATGGAGGAAGTTGATTTAGATTCAGGGGGTGAAACAGCCCCGGAAAGTTGGATGTGGTGCCCCTCACCCTCATTATGGGAAGATGGCCAAGATTCTCCAGTAAGTCGCTTACAGTCGGTGTATAAGAGAGAATTATTGTCTTTGGGTGCGGAAAGTCATGTAAGCGACATTTCTGGCAGAATTTGGGAAGAATATAAAACTATCTTTTTGGATCTGCAAGAAATGGACAGCGGGAGCGACCACGAAACATCGCAAAGCTCTGCAGAAGAAAGTGGAGATGATCAGCCACCGATAATAACGAATGTTTGGGCAGTTAGTGAGGAAGATTTTTCGTATCAAAAATGTGCGGAATTCGCTCCGAGAGTGGAAAATATTCGACCAAGTGTGTTTGACACTCCACAGAAAGATGAAGGCAGTTTCGATATCTGGACCGAAGCTCTACCATCAAATTTTGGAGGTGCAAGCGAAAAACTGAACTACTCCAACTCGTGTACCAATTTCAGATCTTTGTCATCACCAACAAGAGAATTAAAAGTAGGTATCGGAAGTAGATCCGACAGCAACCTGTGGGGATATTCCCAAATGTCAGCACATCCAACTTGGTCTGTGGAGGACGACTTACCTCGTGAAAAGGTAATCCCATGTGATAATGAGCTCACAAAATTATTAGAAAACGGAAAATTTGGATATTTCTGTCAAGGATTAAATAAAGATTGTGAATGCGACTGCTGGAAAGATGCTTCAAAAGATCTCTGGAGCATTTCTCCTAAACCTCAGATGCAGCATACGGTGTGGGGTGGTGGTGATATGCCGGCACTTCAAAAGCCTGATACCCCACAAGATCATAATTATGACGATAGAATGATGCATAACCTTGTTGACGCCTTGTTTTCAGACCTTAGTTTTGATCTGTTGTTTGGTCCGAGAGATGACGAACCTTTGTATTCTGAGTTTGAGCAACGAATACCAGGCTTCACTCCAGGATTTGACCCCAACTTTCAAAGATGGAGTTTTGATTTTCGCTCTCTTTTCGTTGAAACACCTATCGAAAATTTCCAATCCCCTGACAACAGTCCTTGGCAACCACGATGGAATATTGATGATCTATTTTTCAAAGCTGGATTTTCTCAAATGCCGACTCGACTTGATGACATCTTCGAATCGATTGCTTCCAGTGAAGAATGTCAAGACCTGAATCCATGGTCCACTGAACATGATTCTGCCGATAATGATCTGGCGAACAAAAAGACAACATTTTTGGACAGCGTGACAGAAAACGAGGCTTGGAAAACTTCACTGAGAATTGGCAACATATGGCAATCTATTGCAGGAATTCGTCCAGTTAATGTTATCTACAGTGAACACAAACCTGGCCCAAGTTCGGATGAGAAATTGATACCGTCATCAGCCACTCATTTTCGGTAAGTCATGCCTTGTATTGATTAATAAAGCTATGGCTGATTTCATATATCTTTGTTGGATAGCGAGGTGGGAATATTTTGCTTTGCTTGTCTTAATATGTAAAAATCTACAAAAGGCTTACAGTCTTCAATTTGGGCTAACTTTTATTGTGTTTGGTGATGTGCAATATTATAATTAGCCTAAGTAGCAGTTTTTATGGCAGAGTCCTTCTTATAGTGAAAGCACCATAAAAGCCTTGCTTGAAAAGTGAAAGCATAATGACTGCAATAGGTACATTTCTTATCAAATTTAACACAAGAATTCTGCTCACTTTTTGATATCATACTTTATTTATTCCTGTTGCATAATATAGCAAATCAGATTCTGTTGTCAATTTCCTTTCAAACTTTTATTTTCTGATCATTGCGATAAGTGAGTAGGCCTTGTGTGATGAAAAGAATAACACTTAGAGATCGTATTAGGCTATCTATCAAGTATCCACATGCTAGGGTTCATAAAACGCCTTTCTTTTGACATTCATTTTCAATTGTATTACTTCACTGTAAATGTAAATCATTTCCAATATCTACACCTAGTAATTACGATCGTTCTACTACAAAAATAATTTTGTTTTAGGCCAATCAGTGCTGTGACAGTTGAAAATGATGTGGATGAGACACCTAATTATGATTCTGACATGAATATGGGTATGTTCATTGTTGGTATATTGTTTATCCTAAAGATTTTTGTTTTACAACTTTATTTATAAGTATTGCTTCATAACCATATGTTGTAAAGTTAAGTTTCACTTAAAAGTGTAAATTTACCATAAAAAAATGACTTCTCACCATTTCAGTTATTCATTTGTCTATCAAATTGAGAAAAAAATCTGTAATGACCAAAACTGATGTCGATAATCAGTATTAGTTTATTCATATCTCCCTTTAAACTGAAATACCATTTTCCAGTCGATTTCCTACATTCTCTATGTAAACTTATTAACAAGTTAACTTCTTATTGAACCAATTCCAGATACAACAATGGCTTCTGAAGAACCAGTATATTATGACACTGGACAACAACAATATGATCCAATAACAGAAACAGGAAATCCTGGAACTGGTTAGTCATCATTATTTGTTTTGGGAATTTCAACATACGTTTAATTCTCAATTGAAATGTTTGAATTATTTTAAAATACGGGATAATATGAAATGATAGTTTATCCAATCATAGGGATGTACTTTGCATTTATCAGCCATATATAAATCATTATTGAGTGTGAGCTAATTTGGTTTTCTAAATTCTGTGTACGGTTTTAGAACAAAGAGACAAATCAATTTTATCCTCATGTATAAAACACGTGGTAAATTAGCAGAAGTCTGTCTGTATGTCCCATCGTCTGCCCTATGTTTCAACTTACAAGCCAGTCAGCTGATCCTGCTTAGAAATATTATTGAACTGTAGTCATGATGTACTCAGTCACGAGTTGAAATTATTGCATCCATATTGCGCAATAGAAACCTTCCGATGAGTCATAGTGTTTATTATTAACTTGTTAACCAAAGCGTAACCTACAATGACTTCACATAATATGGGGATATTTAGATAGTAAACTGGTTTGATACTATATTTACATTTTCGGTACTATATTTAAAAATCTGTTTTATAAATTAATTAATGTCATATCTGATAAATTTACCAATTTTTTATGTTTGTATTGAAATATGCTTATTTGAGAAGACAATAGAAATTGAATTTTCATTTTTGCGCTTTCTTTTCAGTGATAAAAAATTTTTTCTAATAAGTCTATAATATGAAAAATTTAAGGTTATTTTGGACAAGAGCCTATGTATTACTATTATCATGCTTTCCAAGTTCTAATCCATAAAACAGTTCAAGAAAATTTGAATTTTTGGCTAATTGTACTCAGGCTTGTTTTATAATAATGATTTTTAATAAACCAATTAATGTGAAATACAAAATCAAAAATTATTTTGGACAACATTTCTTATTATTGTCAGTGTTCTTTCTTAGTTCTAATCATACAATTGCCTAAGGCAAATTTCAGTTCCTCTATATTGATTGTATGGTTATTTATAGCTTCATAATTTAGAACAAGCCTGTGTTGGTCAACAATCTTTTTGTGTTTACTTCAGTTCATGCACTGAAATGAACTAATTTGCTATTCTCAGTATTGTTGTGCCACAAGGACAACATTGTTTTAGTTAGGTCATAACACTGTGTGTGAACTAGGGTAGATATTAGTTTGTCGTAGTGTGTGTACCAGCTTAGGGTTAAGGCATAATTAATATTTTTTTTTCTCATTTTAGTTCTTTTTACGAGTTCGGGGACTGTCTGTGTTAGCCAAGTGAATATACCCCCTGCCCATAGGTTTAAGTCCCTTTACACAACTCGATGTAAAGTAGTCGAAAGAAATTACGGTAGTTACCCCCATATTGGTACACAACACACTACATACACTTCTTGATATTTGTTTGTCCATTCGTCAATGAATATCCACCACCTGAATATAGGAAGTAGGACATTTCACCTATGTCGTAGCTAAAATAATGTAAATCCTTGATAACTTCATTAAGTTCGTTTATAAAGTTTTCGTTTCTAAAAATTCAATATAATTGTTTATATTTTCATGAGAGTAACGATAAATAAGGTCATAATTACGTAATCATTTCATGGGAAAATCATGAGTTTGTATGAAACTTAATTCTTTGTATTTTAAAAGGTTTCAGTCCCTATTTACAACTTGATGTAAAGGAGTCGAACAAAACTAGTTACCTCTATATTGGTACACATACTTCTGGAGCGCCTTAAGTTCTTAAAACCTTACGTTCTTGCTTCTTTTTCAGATGCATTACCAACCATACCAATGATAGAAGAACCAAGCTTCCAGGTCAACTTCAGCAAACTAGGTCACGATAAATCAATGCAGACGGCTTTTGAAATATCAGTTCAACAAGATATATCGACAACATGTCAGGACCTGTTAGCAAGACCACCAAAAGCCAACTCAAGATGAACTATTTTTCTTGAGAAAAACTAAAAGTTTAAGAAAATGGTCAATATTAAAATATTCACACAAAAAAAAAATTGCATTGTCATTGAAAAAAATATTGCTGAATGATCATTCATGTAGTATGCATGAAGTAAATAATTAGAAAATTAATTTGAAAAAGTTTGCAGTTATTAATTAATAAAAATCAGCAATTAACTTCAATTAGAAACTTGTATAATGTTACATATTTGTACATGAGTGTGATTCTGTTGTTATTTTGATTTTGTTTTGCATTTGATAATATGACTTGTTTTTACTCCCATAAACAGAAATATGTTATTGAGGCTCTGTTTGTTTCTTAATATGAAAAACTATTGCTTGTCATAGCTTGTTTACCAATTATTCTAATTACCCAAGATCTATATTTCATGTTTGGCCCATAGTTGTTCTAAATCTTATGCTGTTGTGGTATATACACCCTTTCTGGCAGGGATGACTGAAATTGAAAGATCTACTTACTATTCAGAATACGCTCTGAAATAATATTTTAAAATGTGGAATTTTGAATTTATACTGAATTCGGTCGTGTTTGACAGAGAAATTGAATAGATGGAAGTTTATTTAGTAATGCAGATGGGGTGGAATTTTATAGTTTTAATCTGAAGTCAATGAAATATTTATTTTTTGTTCTGTCAAATAATCAAAATTGGTATTCTCCAAATTACACTGTACGCTTTCTTCCTAAAATCAATAATTCACCATCGAATATAACTGATTTTGTATTTATTCGAACTTGCCTCAAGATCTGGACATCCCTGCACTCAGGTATAACTTGAAGTAAATAATATCGCATATAATTAAGATAAGTAACTGTTTCACTTAGCACCCTAATTTTTATTATAAAAAACGAATGTTGTTTTGGCCATCAGGCTGAATCTAAAACATTTTGCTAGATATTTAGAAATCTAGCCGTCTTTTCTGATATTTTTTTCATCAGATTCTCCTTTTTCCATGCTCCAAGAAAAAAAATCAAAAAAAAATAATAAAAAAGTAAAACAAAAAAAAAGTATACAAAATGAGAATTTTAACTTTGATTTTCTGGTTACTTTTCTCTGGATATTTTTCTCCACATTGTTTATAAATCGATGTTGAATAATTCATGATGATTAATTTGATTCATAAAACGCTTCTCAATGATTTGATTGCAAATTTATTTACTTTTTTTTTTAAAAACGGAAGTAACTTTTTTTGTTGACATCCAAGCTGGATGATCAACGTTTACCCTTTTCATCTACTTTGGAATTTAGCCGACACGCTTGAGTGATTTTAAAGAGCTTGAGCTAAATTGTGTATTGGTCTCCCATTTTAAAAGGCCATAACATAATTATGGTGCTTGTCCAGTGCTATTCTAAATTCTGCAACTTGAAGTTTGCAACCCAAATATTCATTTAAAACATTTGCTTTTGTAGCGTTTCATATAAATCTATCTCCCATTTGATTAATACTCCTCCAAATGAAGTACTCAGAATGTAATGTTACAAAAAACCTAAATATTTGATTCTAATTCTTTTTTATACCGTTTTTATTTCTTGATCGAAAAAAGTACTTCGTTTATTCTTTTGGCTAAATAAAATATTCTAATCCTAGTTGAATAGATTCCCACATGATAACTGAAAAATATAGCCTGTCCTGAAAGTATAAATGGATAAATATCTTCCGATATATTTTAGTATTTTATGTAGTGAACTTATAGTTGGAGGTGTGAAAGGAGCGCATTTCGTTCTTCTGGGACAGTTTTCCTTTTCCGTCCTTTATTAATATCTTCAAAGCTTTGGGGGACATTTATTAACCCCGTCACTGAGAGGCGATAGGCATGGAACCAGTAAGGATACTCCTATGTATATTGTCTTTCGCAAAATAATTCTTTAATTTTAGTTAGGTATGGCTCCAAAGTCTACACTAAGCGTTATTTTGCGAAATTTGTCCTCAGCTATTCTGGCCAGAAATTTGTTCAGATTCATATTTAATGAAAATTTTACGAAAAAAATTCGATTCATCGTGATTGACCTCTGACCTTTTCTGAAATTTGTTTAGACATCTTCATTGTTATCATTGTTGGACATCTGGATTGGTTAGCTGCTTAAGTTTATATTAACATGCCTAACTATGGTAACTTACTGGTTCCTAGATATCCCTCTCATTATTACGCTTGAACTATGCTTTCGAAGTAGATTTGTTCGTTTTTCTTTGTGTTGTCTCCATCCTGTCAGAAATTATCAAATCTAGTCGAGTGTTGGTTAGAAAATTTTATTGTTTAGACCATTGGTTCTCAAACTTTTGAGCCCCCTTTTTAGAATTTGTCAAGTCTAGCGCCTTACCTCAAACTAGCTAACATTAAGCTACAAATAACAGATGCTAAGGCGAAAGTATGTTTCATTCAGAAAACACGTTGAAAATACGTGGTTGGAACATGAGTAAATAAAAAGTTTTGAAATTTAAATATCTAAAATAAGGCAGGCAAGATCAAATCTAACAATTATTTCCAATTAACGGTAGCTTCACGTTCCTCACAAAATTGTCTATGCCCCATTAGCGGGCCGCGTTTGAGAACCACTAGTATAGACAGAAAGTGTAAATTAGTGTTTCGAAACCATAATAGAATTTAAAAAAAATCGTTTCAATTTGTAAAATTTTTTCCTGCTGTCTGCCTCATCCATCAAATACATTCATTTTCTAATGCTCATCATCTCTCAGTTGAGCATTAGTCAAGATTGCAACTGACGTCTTTCATTTGATTATTTCTTGCACAGGTGTCTTGTATTGTTGATATATAATAAGTGTTATTTATTTATTGCTATGATACAATGGGCATTTCATTTCTTCTATAGTCTTTTAAGTTATTGTTCTCCCACTTTAACATTGTATGTCTCGCAACCTATCTAGATTTCGACTTCATATTGATTTGTTACATCTTACTCAACCTCGACAATCCATATTCTCAAGTTTTATTCGTTTCTTATCACAAAATATACTCTGTATTGGTCTTTGGCTAAACTTAAATTCTCAAAATTCAATTAAATTGTTAATATGATAAATTTTCAGCATGGTAGCGCTGAATGTACCGGCTACAATATCATTGGCTCGAACAGAAAATGTTGAAGTGGGAAGTATTTTGCTTGTATTGTTTATTTTGTTGGTAACTGAAAAAAGTAGTTGATATACTACCAGGTAATTGCATGTAAAGTATGATTATTCAATGAATGTATTATTGCATGCATATTATAAGAATGTATTGATTTTGAAAATACCATTAACCACTATTTTATGATTACATGGAAAATAGTTGATTTAGATGCATTTTTGTTAATCTTATTCTATGAAAGACTGATCGACTATGATTGGAGTTGAAAATTCTTTCACAAAAATAATTTTTTGCCAGTTTTGGCATTTTTGTTCTAAGTGATGCCTCAATGACTTATGGAATTGATTTTTAATTTGTGTTGAGAGTTATTTTTCATCACTAACAGTCAAACGCTCATTTGATAATGTTAGGATGGAAATATGACAAAAAAGGTTTAATAAATTAGCTCTTCATTTGGTCATGATCAAATTAATAAGGCAATTATAATTTTAATTGTTGTTTGAATGTGTTCTGAGTTATTTTCATATGCTTGCCTGAACACATATTATGCTTATTCTGATACTATTATCTTATTTACTTGCATGTGAGAGATTGATGATGCATGCCAGTTGGAGTGATGATTCCCAGATTTTATATTTGGCCAATGCCCATCTTCTATTTGGTGAAATTTCCCATTGTTATACCAGAATAGCAAATAAGCATATCCAGTAAAGTATGATGTAAGACTTTGATGATGTCATATATATCCTGGTGAAACACGACAGCGATTATAACAGATTCAAAAGCCTGATTCGGAATGCCCCTTTTGCGTCCAAATTACTTATATTCAGTTAATTTGATATTAATTATGGCGCTTTAAAATTGTTATCCAATATTGATATTGTCAAAATTGACTCTTTAGTTTGTGTTTGATTCTTCATACTATTGTTTTTGATGTGCCTGATAAACAGAAATTCAAGCTAAGGTAGCTCCGCTGTGATAGGAAAATTTTTAACCTCTTGATTTTTGCTGAAATTTATGGTGGTGCCCTGGACACTCTTTCAGTCTTATTCTTTAAAAAATTTGGTATTTGAGAGTGGCAAATCTGGCATATTTGAAAACAGCTCTCTTTTGGCTTACCAGAAATTTTGTTTTATTATCCTGTAAAATATTGAAATATGTTGTTTTGTTTTCAGTTTTTGTCGCAAAATGTTGTGATCTTCTATTCAAATTCTTATTGTAACATATCTGGCATTGTATCGCATATTATCTGGTTCAATAAAATTTTGGAAAGTGTATTTCGGAAAATTGAGTTTTTTTTTTGTAGTGTGGGAATGGATTGGTTTCCGGGGCAGGTGATTAGGCGATGTGTCCTATTCTAATAGTGAATTGTCATGAACTGGCGCATTTAGACGAATTGCAAAGACAGGATGAGTTTTTTTTCATTTGGTAATCAGTAGTTTGTTTTCTCACCATACTGGAAGCACACTGCTATACAAATAGCAATAAATAAAAAGCATTTCGGGGTGAGAAGGCCGCTCAAATTTGGTTATCGAGCACGCCTCCCATAAAAAAGTCGAACAAGAAAGTAATATCACAAAGTCAAATTGCATATGTAATTTGGAAAAATAAATACGTCAAGGCATGCCAACCTGGTAGTCATCCTCGCGAGAGGGAAGGGGTTAGTGCGGCTTTATGGCGAATCTTGGACTCTGGTACCGTTACCAATAAGATGAGGTATTTGATTTTGAACTTAATCTTTGGTACAAAAAAGTGATGACGCACTAGATGGCCGTTGTTGAAGAATAAAATGAAATTTGAAACATGTACATAAATATAATAGATGGCAATCTTGTGACGTAGAATATACAAACGATGGGATGCATTTAATCGAGCCTGTGAGAATTTTAATGGAATAGTTAACCCAGGTAGGAAAAATACCACACTGCTTGCTTGATATTTAGGCAAGTTTTGTCGTTGACAGATAAATATAATTTAAAACGGCATTTTAGAATCTTGTGAGCAATGAGGTTTTATTGAAGTTAAGGGATTTTGCTCTGAGAATCTTATCGATATTCGAAAGAACTTACCTTTGCGGAAGCACTTTTTCCGTTATGAAGAGTTTGAAATCTTAAACTAAATGTAGATATAGAAAGACGTCTTGCATGTTATCTTGGCACTTTTTTGGCCCGTGAACAATGCAAAAATAATTTTGTGCCCTTAAAGCGGACAACCTTGGACCAAACTGAATCAACCAGTTATTTCCTTCAGATGCTCGGACTTTGTAGTGAAGGAAGCCGTAAGCGACACGTGCTTTCGTTAATTACCCTACGATAGCGAGGAGTCCAGAAATTCTTATGCATTTATGGAATGACCTCTGTGGAATCATACCTAGTTCACAGTAATCTGAGTTATGACGACGATAGTGCTTAACATGGGGTGTCAATCACCGAGTGGACTCAGCCGCCCTTTTGTTCTTAAAAACTGAAATTGCTTTGATTTCAATTCAGATGTTTTCCAAATCACCATAAATTCATCATTCCCCCCTACATATCTATCCATAATAACATGCCTCTTAAACTACAGGTCTCCGAATCATGCGATTAAAAAATTTGACAAAATTTCGAATGCCCATACTTCAAGCCCAAAGTTCAATCTCAGAGGGAGGGTGGGAGCTCCGTTGTAAATTTCAAATTATAAATATAACGGAACAAAGACATAAATTGAACGATGAGAAAAAACGTTTTGCCTCTCGAGCTAGAGTCACGGTATTTTAAAAGGCTCACTGTCGAGCCCATTTGAATATTACAAGTATTTTTAATATCCAATACATCCATTTTCAGAATCTCGGCATTATATTTTTGAGCACAACATTAATCAATCATGATGATTGTTGCTACTTCATAAATATTGGATTGATTAGAGTACTGACTTTTTTTCTCTGCATTTGCATTATTGTATAGTGTGTATACGTGTATACTGACTGCTAAGGATACTTGAGCAAAAACGCCTTCACATATTCCATTTCAGTAACGTTTGGCCAAAGTCAGTCTTCTCAATGGCATCATCATTTGTTTGGATTTCATTATTTTGCACAATTCAGCTTATGAAACCGTTGTCAAGGCGATGCGCTGAATGACTGTGGTAGTATGTTTCCTCGTAATTATATCCATCACTTTATTTTGGTCTCTTTCACCTAAAACAAAATAACATGACGAGAAAAACGACAAATGAAATGTTGAGTTACTTGGAATGCGATCATAACTTAAGTCTTAAGATAAAGTACAGGTACGCACTTTTCAATCAATCAATCAATCAATCAATTTTATTTTGATCGCTCTGGTATAAAACAAAACAATAACAAACGAACAAACACAAAACACAGAGTACTTGGAGGACGGGCTTAACAAACGTGAAAATACGCGCCCGTCCACCAAAAACAGTCAAATAACACAATAAAACAAAGATACACGATACAGAATCGGGCAATAACGTCAAATAAATAAATTTGTGAATAACAGTGACAACAATGAGTTTATTTTAAAGAGGGGTCATACAGATAAAAAAAAACATCGTTTTTATGTGTAACAAGAAAATGAAGGGATTCAACAAAACGAAAAAACTTTTCAACAAAACGAAAAAAGTAATTCTTCAAGCACGACAGCATCAGTGGTTTTTGTTGTCTGTTAAGCTTGTTGTTGAACATAGAACCAAAGTCACAGATTTATTCCGGATCATGGTGAAATAAAATCTAATGTATGTTTTTCTATTACACTCCAAAACATCGTATTCTTCGAGATTGTAGCCGGGATAAAAACGATATTAATTTAGTCGCGCGTTTGGTCGGACGCAATTGTTATTATGACATTTTAAATCAGGGTGGTCCAAGGTTGCGAGGTTGAAGGGCCACAAAAACTTTTGAGGAGGTCTCGCGGGCCGCAGTCGGAGAAAACCAAAAAACTGATCAAAACATTTATTAAGAATGAGAGTTTATCGTTCTAATCAGTTTTTCAATGTAACTATATAAAGCCTTTAGGTATTTTAAAATTGCTTCCCGAGAAATATCGTGGTATTTTCGGGATCTTTTCTCGTGTTTGGTTTTGTAATGTCGCTTAAAATTACATTCTTCCGTGACAGATATAACTTGAAAACACACCAGACACTGTGGTTCAACGTTGTTGTGGGTAGGAATATATATACGTTTACTTCGGTCATTTTTTTTACACTTATTGTATATATGATGAATTTATTTCTTGTAGCGTGAGCAGACTACTGCTGCCGCCAAAAAACAACCAAGTTCGCCAACCTCGGACCCAGATAAAAAAAAAAACTGGATTGCGCGGCGGTAAGTCAGCCCTGCGATTCGTCACTGCTGTCCAGGGTTGCCATATTGGCTTTTTTAACGCCAAATTTGCCATTTTTGGCTTTTTTCAAACAGGTTTGGCTACAGATTTTCCGTTTGGCTTTTTGGCGTTTTTTTGGCTTTTTTAAGTCTATTCTAGTGTCTATTATTAAAATCATATGCAATACAATATTTAGTGTATAACAATAGCTTATTACCGGTACTTAGCTACTTAACAATAGGATTTCCCCGAGTATCGATTTCCTTGTTTATTACTTTAACGCTTAACCATACCCAATAAGAAATAATTTCTGTTTCTGCAGCCGCTCAGACAGATATTCAAGCAGGGTTGTAAAGATTGCCTCGTTTTTATAGTTTTGCGTGGTATTTGTCAATTTTTAGTTCTGTTTCCGAAAAATAGTTGTGCAACTTAATTTTCATTACCGGTATGCCTGATGTGGAGCCGCAGTTTAATTGCAGTAATCACAATTTAGTTTCATGAACGATGTGTTAACTACGCTAAAATTACTGATTAAGCTATCAGTAGTCTACCTGTAAGCGGCACGTGGTTAGATAATTTTTTAATATAATTGATGGTTTATAAATTTGAGAAAATGAAAAAAACTTCAATAGTAAAGTATGATATAAGGAGAATTTTTAAGGTATATCACAAGTTTAAGTGGAAATATGTAGGTATATCACATACGGTACCGAAGCGGCGGCCCTATATTCCATAGGTTCTCAAAGTGCTCCGTACGGAGCCCCAGGGCTCCGCGAGAGAAACCCAGGGGCTCCGCGAGCTATTCAATTACTTTTCAAAATACTGACTTGGCTAATTTAAAACTGTTCCTAGAAGCAATAACAGCTTTGATAAAATTTGACAACAATATAGCCTCGACATATGGCAAAGTGGTGGACTTAAAAAATGACATTATTTATAAGCAGGAGCGCAGCCAGGATTCTTGAGAGGGAGGAGGTTCAAATTTGGAATCGGAAATTTATGCGCAATATTCTTGGCGATTCAAAAAAAAAACGGATAACGAGATTTCTGTTGCGTAAAATATTCAATTCATGACCGATGTGAGCGTGTCTTGTCGTAATAATTTAATTGTGCTCATCGTTACTCATGTTCGATTCCAGATTACTATTAGGATTACTAAAATGAAAGAATACTATTCTGAAATAACATAAACTGCCAACTATAAATAAATTGGAGTCGTATTTTTGCGATCTTGGGATTTGTTAAACTTGATTTGTTCTCCGTCGGTAGTTTTAGAGTGGAAAAATTTTATTCTGACGTGAGTCTGCTGAAACAAAACGTGTAGTGTTATCTTTCATTTTGAGTTTTAGTTCTAATATTTCAGAATGCCGCTTTTTAATCAAGAAATTTGAATTGCGGATTTACCTCTTTATTAACTATTATTTTTAGCATTTCGTCGCCGATGATTATAATATGGTAACATGTTTTTCACATTGAACTTATAATTCCCCACGAGAACGAAAAAGCAATTATCGTCGTCATTGTGGAACAATACATGTATATGCCGAAGGAAATTTTTGATTTAGTGAGAATAAACACCGGCGTAAAGATGTTTGAGGTTTAAAAACACGCGATGCTGACGAAAACAATCGGCGATTGTAACGAAATGCAATCGCGCACGTTAATAGCGACCTTTTAAGTCTTCCAAAAATGTCAAGAGGGGAAAAGATTCGACGCCTAATTTATTAATATGTTTGTCATGTGTCAAATTTACAGCTTTAGTATTATACAATTTATCTTTGAAATTTAGATTTATTTATGACTTGTATTAACCCTATTAAAAGGGTTTAGTATTTAAATTGAGTAAAGTACGTTTAACTTACTCAGGAATATTAATCGGAAAGTAACAATTTTAACATTTATTTTGGGGCTCCGTGAATAATAGTCAACCTTTTCAAGGGCTCCGCAACGCCAAAAGTTTGAGAACCCCTGCAGTATATTCTATATTGAATGATAAAATAATGCTGTCCGCTTAATATTTATTTTTATTTGGTCTTTTGATTTTTTTTAAACTGTTTCATATAGAAGTCAGGTTGACTGTATTGTGTTGAATGTAGACACAGTGGCTTTTTTATGTCTTGATTTGGCTTTTTTTGATCTCTGGGATCTGGCAACCTTGCTGCTGTCACATGGTCACCGCTTGAAAATAGAGAAGGGTTTTGACTAAAATGAAGCAGAAAACGTCTCTTCAAATGAGGAGTTACTTGACGCGAGCTCATCTCATCGGCTTGGTCCTGTCTGCACAAGACAATTAATTCTTCTTTTACCGATCACAGGACGTCATTCCCATATAGCCACCGTCTTGACGTTTATAGATACAACAATGAAATTCGGTGAATTTAGATAGATAGATAGATAATGATTTATTTCCGATACAAGTACATAATACAATAAGTATGAGCAAATAACAATAAGCATAAAAATGTATACGGAAGGGGACGGGCAAGACTTCCAAGGTCAACAAGGTCGACCGACCCCTAAGGTAAGATTCTACCAGGACAGGACACTCTAAAGCAGGCATCATAATTACAATAGAAAAAATATAAATTTTTGAGTTTTAAGCCCGGTTAAGAGGCCCCAGAAATCAATTCCCCGAAAGTATTGGAATAGGAATAAAAATTACAAGGAACAAGAACATCACATGATTACGCAGAACATGTTTTTGATAGTAATTAAAAATGCGAGAAAGATTTTAACAAACATCAATCCCGATATCGGGATTAGGAAAAGGACTATTTCCAGGTGGGATAGTTAAAAAATAAATCAAAATTGTTCTGCTAATAAATACAAATATATATCCGCCAATGGTTTAGTAGTTTACGCGAAAATTGTTCTGCGGGCCGCACGGAATGTGTCGTAAAACAAAAAAAATGTCCATAGGTACAATAGTATGCATGTGCAATTGTCATGGGTTCAAATGTACGTGGGTTCAAATGTAATGGAACCCTATGAAGGAGCTCAATCACGCTTCGAAGCTTGTTCTGCAATAGTCTAGGTATGATTTTCCGTACAAAAAAAAAATATGAAAACAAAAGCGAGAAATCCCTCCATTTTCTTGCACAAAAACACGATGATCTGAACTGCAGGTGATCTGAACCTGCAAATCTACGCAGGTAAGATGACAAGCGCTCATCACGATAATCTAATCATCTTATCTTTTAACTCAACCATTTTACACACCCATACTGCGCGTCTCTCTCCGCCATCGAGGCAATGCATGTGACACAAATAACTGGCTAACAAATCCCGTGTCTAACATATCACGCCAAGCGTCAGGAATTCGCTCACCCCGCCGCACCTCTGATTACCCTACACGGTTTTGCAAGTAACTGGCTAACAAATCCCGTGTCTAACATATCATGCCAAGCGTCAGGAATTCGCTCACCCCGCCGCACCTCTGATTACCCTACATGGTTTTGCAAGTTTGAAATCATGTGTTGGTAACTATATCCAAAAGGATTGCTGCCTGACTCATCTCCGTCGCGGGGTGGTTCACGTTCCGCAACCAATAAGCCCATGCCTCTGCACAAACAACTGGCTAACTGATACCATATCCGACACGTGATTCGTCATATGATTAACCTTTCCTCTACACGGGAGAAATATGTAAATCCTATTCTATTGGCGAAAATTGAAGCTTCATTATGTCCAACTCTTAATCCTCGTCATAGACACACAAGATGAACAATATAAAAAGTGCGGCATTAGCACTATTGTATTTTACAACAATTAAAAAAAGTTCAGCAGGATGAGACAAATCCAACTTTCTGAGGAGACATATCTTCAGATCATAAATGGGACAAAACAAGGTTAGCTTTCAATATATAATATGACATCCAGAAACAAGTTTCAAAAATATGAAATCCTATCCTTGTATAGTTAGCATATATATGGTAATCCCATAGTATGTGTACCAGGTTAGGAATAGGCCATGATTTTATTCAAATATTTCTTATTATAGTTCTATCACAGGTTCTGAGTTAGCCAAGTGAATATCCCCCTGCCCATAGACTCCAGTCCCTTTACACAACTTGATGTAGAGAAGGCAAACAAAATTAGTTACCTCCATATTGGTACACATACTTCTGGAGCGCCAAAAATATTGCTACAGTGAATCTCCAATAGACTGGTTTATACCAGAAAAATAACTAAAAGTCCTATCGAATATAATTTTAGAAAAATATTCAAACTTATAACACTAATATGAAGACTCGGAATACATTCGAGGCTTCAAAAAATCTTAAGATTTTAATTATCACAATCTATGTTTCGCCAGATATGATTCAAAGATATGTTCTTGATAGAAAACAGACACAAAGAAAAAAATGTGACATGGTCTGTTTTGCTTTTAAAAACGAAATATTCGCCCTTACAAAAAAAGCAGGCTTACAACTGAGTGAGAAAAGTACAAAAACATAATATCTTTCTTCGCTACTCAGGCTTTTAAAACAATAGACAGCCTCTTGCTTGGGAAGGCAATGTTGTTGGAACTGACCAAGATAAATTTCAAAACTTGATAATGATTGTGATATTTATTAAATAGGAATTATTTGAACACATGACGGTATCGACCAAAGTAGGATACAGAGGACAGATAACTATCACTTCGAAGCTCCAGAAATATACCAAGAACGAAACATAATTAGACTGTACATCCAGATATCATTAGTGCTGATAATGAGATCTTGGTTCGGCTAAAGATTGGAAATCTGTTTCTATGTTTTTAGGTTTTAGACAAACTTAGGGTTTGTTAGTATCACAAAGTCTACATGCAACTTTTAAAAATTTGATAATTTGAAAATAAAGACATTTGGGGAACCATTGTAATATGACTGGAATATAACGATTCCATCAATAAAATAGAAATTATTTTCAATTCTGTTTCAGTTTTTGTCTTTCAAAAGAAATATTCCTGAAATGAGTGATTGAATTTGTAAATTAATAGCGGCCACTCTGCAGAAAAAATAGGATATAACTCTTGAGGTCAAATGAACGATTAATTTTTGGAGATTTGTGAACAAAAATAATTCTGCATCTACTGGTGACAAAATTCAAAATAAATTCGACCAACACCCCCAATAATTTTAAACATGTTTGAATGACATTTTGATTACTTTTGATAACTCTTGCATTAGTAACAAGGATTCATAGCCAAGTATGATAAGACTATGTTGATTGGTCATGTGAGCAACAAATTCTTCTGTAACCCCTTTAAAAGGTAATTAAAAAGGGATTTCAAAAATACAGGCTCATTTATTAGTTTGCATTTTCTCATGTGAGATGAAAAAGATTTTTTACTTTTTGCTACAATAAATTTTATTAATAATCGAATGTTTTCTTAGGATATATTTTCATCTCTATGAAATATTATATTGCCAAAAAGGCGAATTTTATCTTGTTTATCATTTTGTCGCAATATTGAACAAACTTCATATTATTACTCGAAATACCAAACCATTAGAATCGACAACCATATTTGCTGTGGTAAATGTGCCTGAATTTCGATAACTTTCGATTATTCTACAAGGGGAAAACATTGAGCAGCAGAATAAGTAAATTGTTTAATCAAAAAATTGATCATTGTCACAGATTGTTTACTTCTAATGTGATGCAACAGTAACCGATGCCAAATGATTCATTACTTGTGGTTAGTTACTTTCATGACAAAGACCAAAACAGACATTCAAATTACCTTGTGGCGAACACCGGAACGTAGTAAGTATGTGTACCAGGTTAGGGTTGGGCCATAATTTTACTCCAATTTTCCTTTTTTTTTTGTTCTATTACGAGTTCGGGGACTAGTCAAGTGTCTTCCGCAGTATTTGTAACTGAAATTATAGCCTAACCCTAACCAGGTACACATACTATGTTCCGGTGACTGTCATACTTCGAAGTACCGAATTCGGATTAGTAAGCGTGGCGCTTAGTTTCAATCTATCTTTATAATTACATTTCTACACAGAAATATAAACTATTTTCTATGATAATTGTGGATGGACCACAATTCAATAGAGTCGAAACAAGTATTCAGAGATACTGGCCGGTTGATTGGCATGACAATAACTTTTTAAATACTGCTGATAAAATTTAAAAGAAATAACACACAGACAATGAACTCTTGCTGTTTTAAATGCAATCTGTTCAAAGATGTTGTAAACACAGCTAATTTCAATTAATTTGGAATAATATTCAGAATTCTAACACAATATTTTCATTTGTCTTAGTTGTGGGGCACGAAGCAGAATATTTTGTTTCTTGGAATTGCATGAATACTAATCTGCATACAAATTCCCAGTCTGATGTGGCATATTCAAAATCAATTGCGGAGTCAAAGTCCCAACCACATCTACTGCTTTATTAGTCCTCTGCTGGTAGCCGTAACTTGTACTTAGGAGCATGGCCGAATATATCATTATGAATCCTTTGTAAACTATACTTCTTCATGATATGGACGTTCATGTCTGGGTATTGGTCGAGAAATATTGTATTCCTTCCATCAAACTAACAAGAGAAAATAGGCTTCTTGTTGACATATCTCCATCAGTACGAAACTTGAGAAGATCTCAAGCATGTGCAAACTGCAGACCTGAGACTTCTTCAATGATTTTCAATATAAAAAGTAGGAACGAAGCATATTTGGCAGTTTCGGATAGAGAAGTTTAAAATGTTGTGTTGGGTCATGATCAACCAGAAACGTAGGCAGAACATGGTCTTGCAACGTTTCAACTCAGGCAAGTTTAGTTAGTACCAACTGAGCCGATGGAATTCGAACATTATTTCCCGTAAAAAACAATTTCACAGGAAGATAAACTTTTCTATCGATTAGAAAATTGTCAATTGCTATCTACAACTGCCTGTAGACGAGGCTTTTTTCTTGCAGGTTCTGTTGAGTGAGGTGGTGACTCTGTAGCTTTGGCACTGTTCAGAAGGCTTGCATCCTTTCCATTTTTGTTAGCATCACCGTTGCTTTCTTCGTCTTCTTCACTTTCATCATCAGAGTAATCAACGAGTCCGACCAGCCCTGTTTTAACAGTGACAATGGGTGTGGAGGTAGTTGTTTCCGATGGCGGAATCGCTGTAACATGTTCTGCATTTGGTTCTCCATTAGTTTCAATTCCATTAACATTGGTAACTTTAGCACATTCATTGGTTAGAGCTGCTATTTGATTCTTTTTATCTGAGATTATATTATTTGGACTTGATGTTATGTTAACGCTTATTTCTGCAGGCTTTGTAATGAGCTTCACTGTGTCTGCTTCCTCCCTTTTCTCGACCTCGAGAATTTTATCAATATTGACCTTTGGCATGTCGGGATCCTCTGACGACGTTGTGAGTGAAAGTAGAATGTCTCCTTCCTCCTCTTCTGCATCAAACCACATCTCTTCGTCCTCATCCATGGTTCGAGCGTCTCGTCGAAATCGATTATTTTCTATTTCTAACGAAGTGTCCAATGAATCCATTGGTTCGCCTAGTCTGTTTGCACGATCTTTCTGCTGTTCGTATCGTTGTTTTATTCCATTGAATGTTTGCACATAATCAATTTTTTCTAGGGATTGTAGATGTTTTTCAGCGATATATGTGATTAGAAGTTTCATGTCCTCTGTGCGAATGTATTCAAACATCTCTAAAATAGCAGAATTAAGAAGATTGTATCGTTTTCCTGATAGGAAAAGAACATCAACGACAGGTTGTAGCAAGTCACCTTTGACGATATATTTATTATAGAGTTCGTCCGACATGCTGATGATCTTTCTCAGAAACCGTAACGTTGCAAGAGCAAGGAATCTGTGCCTTGAATTGAGAAGAATCAAAATCCTCCGCAAGAGGTCCTTGTTCAGAATGTAGTTCTTTACATGGTACGTGTGATGCTCGACAGAAAATGTTATCAACTCCAAAATGAGACTGAGTAAATTTGCCGTCTGATAATCTCCTTTACCGATTTTATCTTCAGCTGTGTTAGCGAGTAACGGAGCCATTAATACATGCATGCAGTGATAATAGAAAAAACTTAGAAACTCTGTTTTCTCATTCTTGTTGGCCATCATATTTTCTGGGTCTAAGAGAATTCGAAGTAGATTCATTAACTGCATTGCACCACTCAATTCGGGATCTGGATCGCAAATCATCTGTTCGATGACGAGGTTAATCAGCAATTCATCGTCGTTTGTTTGGTTCTCTTCCATCTCTTTGTGCGCGAATTCGCGAACCATTGATGGGCTGTGTTCCACCACATGTGCAAAGATATCGACGCCAAGTTGTCGTAGCATCGCGTCATCTGACGAAAGAAGTAATTCGACCGTTTGCAAGATGCCAAGCTCGACTAGTTGCTTAAAAAATTCATCTCGATTCATGATCTGTAACATCTGTGAAAAAGTGCACAATTCTCGAAGAAATCCAGCGAGTTCTCGCCTTCTTTCATTGCTTTGTGATTCATCCTGCAACTGCTCAAACAGCAAACGTAGAAATTTGTCATCGTCTTGTACCATGTTGACAATTTCAACCTAAAAATATGGAAACATACTTTGATCATTATTTTTTTAATACTGTATTTAAAAATTTGGAATCAGATGGCCAAACATTGACTTCGTGTGAGTGAACTTTAAAACCGCAGTCGCTAGTTAGGTCATTGGTGATATTATTTAACTTACTGAAACTTCATATGGTAATAACAGGTCTTTTTTGATAATTCTATATGGCAGGTTTTCCATTTTCATAATTATCAAGGTATTTTTTTAACTCTTAACGACTTTAGGAAGAAGCAAAAGTTTTCCCATTTGACATTGCCTACCCTGGAGGAGTAAGCCTGAGATGCAGAAATAGTAGAGTTAACCACTATTCACTACCAGGCAATCGCACCCACAAACTGTTCTCATACGAAACAGAAAGGTGAACACCCAGATCTTTTTTATATGAAATCCGATAATATTATCTTTCACATGAATGAATTTAACTGTTTGACAATCAAATTCTGGTGCAGAAAAAACTTCAATGGATTGTTTTTCAGTAACAATTACCAACCAAAAATAAGTCAATGATGGCACAGTAAATGACACTTTTCACTTATCAAGACAATTTTTTAGGAATGGTTGAAAAATAATAATGACCAGTTTTCGTAATTACTTATTTTATTCTTTAAGTTTTAATATATATATTTGATTGATTGGGAAATTTATTTAGGGAATGTGGAACAGTTTGCAAAACACTCTTTCTTAAGTATGCATAAAAATTTGAAATGGTAAAGTATAGTAAGACTAGGCTCGGGGAATTATCCATACTCAGAGATCCTTGTTTACAACAAATTGACTGAATTCAAGAGATTGTTATCAATTTAATGATCAATTATTTTTTTAAATACTTTGCATATTAACAAAATTCATTAGTTTGTTTAAACTAAGGAGATCTAATTCAGTACGCAGTAATTTTAATGGATAGTCCTACATTTTATATAATAAGCAGCATAAAATTGATTTTGGTGAGGCCAAATTTTAAACAATTGCCTCTATTATTACTTTACTATAAATTTATCATCAATATCAATCAATATGTGAGTGTACAATCCAATCATCAAATCACAGTTACATAAATAGAACTAATTTTTTCAAATTTCAGTTTGTTTCATATGAATTGTTAATTCTACATTTGAAATTATCCAACATGAAGATCTCTGCTTGCTTAACACAATAAAATACACACAAATTGAGTAGCATATTGTTAGTAAGAACTCATTTGTTTGCCTTGTTACGTTCCAATGGGAGTGACTGAGTGAGTAAACAGTCTATAGTGTAACATAGAACATCTTAATTCAAACAAAGACTTTAGTGAACCATATTTAACATTATGTTCATTCTTGTAACAGTTCTCCATGAACTGTAAATTTGATCCAATCAACAATCACAATGCAGTCAATTACAAATAAATAAGTTGCAAATGAAAGCTTTCATATTCCATTTTATAAATATGTAATTGTGCTTGTCTTAATGTGTTCTACTATAGCAACGTTGAAAAAGTATCTGTCAATACAATATTCAAATAGTTGTCATAGATTTATAGTATTGAATAGAGCGGGTATTTTTAAACTTGTTATCAGTGGGAAGGAACAAAAATTCAATCATTTTGGAAATTGACTATAGCTTATATATTTCGATTATACACTGTTAAAATTGATTGTTATAAGAAATTGAATTCATTGTAAATTGTACTAACCACATCGTCCGCCTTATTTGTTTGAGTGATAATGCCGAAATACTATGTCCAGAACAAATCAAATACTCAGATTGATTAGAAATTAACCCTACTACAAATTCAAATTTGGGAATAAATCAGAATGGTTTCTTTTCAAAATTTATCTATTTGAGCCTTCGAAGTTTCATAGTGTGACTATAATGACACTTTTATTTCTAAAAGTTGCAAAAAATAGAAATTTTTCAAATCATCGTTTGTCACATTTCAATTTTACACTTAATGAATATGCGATCTATATCTTTTTCGATGAACATGACCTAATTGGAATATAATTCATATTTGAAAATATTGTTCAGAATAGTGAATTTATAGTTTTTCGCAGTCCCTGAATTGGATTTCATAATTGAATGTTATAATTAACAGAATAGGCCCATAGAATATTATTTCGGAAGGTTGGGACTTTAAGACCAATGAGTTAATATACAATAAAGCGACTTCACCCCACTTTTAAATATCTATTGCATTTAAATAGGTTGGAACTGAAAGAATCGAAGTATATATAAGAATCTCTTTCCACAAAAAAGGAAGTAGACAAGAAGAAAGGAATTGCAGTTCAATATACAATATCCTAGTACCCTATGTTATATTGTTGTTAAAGTAATAAAATGAACAATTTGTCACAATATTCATTTTAAACTAATAAGGTGTAAACTAAGGAGTCGAAAATTAAATCCTGAATTTAAACCTTTTGTCATCTGGTTTAAAGTAAGATAAAAACAGACTAGTCTTGGTAACGAATAAGACATAATGACAATCTAATAGAGTTGTTTATGACCTTATTGCATCCGGATTTGTCCCAGAAGAATACTTTAATGATTAATCAGAGGGGACAAAATACTGTTTCACCGTGACAAAATGAAATGAAATACATTCAAAATTCAGAGTCAAAAAGTCTTCTAGGTTTTGGAATATGGACGATACATCTGGAATTTAATTGAGTAAAATGAAGCTCCAGTATAAAAAATAGAACAATCAAATGATGCTGAAATGTATTTCTGTTACTTTTGACGGAAAATTATCATGTTGGGTTGTTTAGGATTCCCGGAAAAAAATTCTAAAAATTTGGCCAAATTCTTGACTTTTATTGTTTCTCACGTAATATTTTTTTTGTTGACGCTAATCTGTTAGTTTCACTATTTAGCATATCCTAGCATGGCTGGTGTGTGTAGGGGACTGAACACTGAGGGGCAAACTAACTAAGGTTAGATTAGGTCAAATTTACATTCATTTTAACAAGATGCCTAGAGTCCTATTGTCCCGAGGATAATTTCAATTCAACATATTTTCTTTTAATATTACATTTCCTAGTTTTATGATATTTCAACCACTTCATCCTTTAAGAACAAATTGGAGAATGTTCGGAACAAACCCACACTTAGAATATGCTGTTAAAATTAATAAATTGACCTTTGAACTCACCTTATTGAAAAAAACAAATGAATTTAAAGTAGAGAGCATGTTTTCTTCAAATACAGAAGGGGTTGGAAGAATGACATCTTGTATGTACTGCACTCGAAAAGTTTGGTGAATTTTACGCTTCAATTCAGGATTCGTTATCGGAATGACTTCTTTGAATTTAGCATCGTTTGTGAGATAATCTCGATGTTTGCGTCGTTCTCCGATCGCTGGATCATACTCGAGACAACCAATAATGTCCATGATATTTTTGTCGTCGAGCATAACCTCAAAAATGCTATTTTTATTAAGCATGAAAAGAGTTTTGAAAATTTCGTGCAAATGATGTAAACCATCGACATTTTCAAGGTCTTCGTTCATACGAAACAAAGTTAAAAGTTTTTGGATGTATCCACAATTTTCTACAGCTACTGCTAGTTTTTCACGTCTCGTTAAAGTCGGTAAACATGACGCGAATAGATTTTCAATTTCTTCGAGTTGGCTGAGCTCACATGGTGGAAGTTCGACAGGTTCATTTGATGAGATTCCGAGGTCAGAACCTCCGTCCAATCGATCTTCATCGTCTGCGTCATCAACAACATCTTGAGTTATGCTGACGGAGGGATCTTTACCTTGAACCTAAAATATAAATCAAATTGTACAAATTGGATGGAAACTAAATATTTCAATTTTATGTCTGATTCATTGCTCGATTTCTAGAGTTTCACATTGCTTGCTACAAGGATTACTCCTGGTAATATATGCACAACTGGTATGTAGCAATCGATATAGTCTAGCCCAGCGTTCCACAAACTTATTTTGCCCCGGTATACATACACTTTTTATCTTGCCCCGATCAAGATTTTGGTCCCTGTTTCGGGAAACCGCAGTGTTCGGCAGAAGACAGTTTCAGAAACACTGGTCTAGCTGTGGAGTCAGAATTGGGAGTTTGTCAAGTTTCACTTATAATAATAAAAGTCTAAATTTTCCATAGAATGTCAAAAAGCATTAAGTTTACTAAGCGCTATTGAATTAGGCTTGCATAGGTAAAAGCCCGTTTTTAATTATTGTTTTACACTGAGTTTGAAGCTGAAGACAATTTTCTCACAACCCTAAGTGTGGGGATGTAGTCAAAAACATTTTTCAGTCCAAATTCAGAGTTGAAGTCGATGTTAAATTTTTCCACCCACAGCCTTGGTTTAGTCACATTTCTAATACCTATGAAGACAAACTTCATCATGTTTTCTATTCAGCACTTTGAAGTGTGTCAGCATAGACATTCGTAACAATATGATTGATCAACAAAAACTTTTCTCATTTGCAGAAAATGCAGTGCGTTGCACAGGGTTACATCATTTACTCAATTTTTTTTAATTTATAAAAAGAACACTCGGCGCTCCAGAAGTGTGTGTACCAATATGGAGGTAAATAATTTTGTTCGCCTACTTTACATCAAGTTATGTAAAGGGACGGAAGACTATGGGCAGGGGGTATATTGACTTGGATAACACAAACAGTCCCCGAACTCGTAATAGAACTAAAACAAGGAAAATCAGAATAAAATTATAGCCTAACCCTAACCAGGTACACATACTATGGGAGTACCAAACACTCTTGAATAAAATATCCAAATATTTATTTCTTATGCTAATGATTTGGTTTCTGCGAGACTAACTACTTATCCTTCTTCTATTCTATTCAATTTATTTCTTACCTGACAAATCTTCTCCCAAATCTCATCACATCCTGGTTTTTCTTGAAAACTGAGAGCCAAGTCTGTGTTATCACTTTCAGACCAAACAATTAAAGTCTCTTGTTGTTTCTGATAAGCAGTGTCTGGCAGTATTTTTGACTCTAGTAATACTGAACCATCTTGTTCGGCTCGAACTATAAGAGTTGTACTGTGTACTCTAGCATCGAATGTATGCGATACATGGCCAGTCCCTTTATCGTCCCATTGCCGATCTTCATTTAAAGTATATACCTTCACACGACGCCGTGTGTCGGCCATTTTTAATAGTTTTTAATGTTTTTGTCCTTTTTCGTTTTTTTGTTAGCAATACTTTGGTTGATACAGATTTTTGTCGGCAGCAGAGTGAATTTTTCGTTATCGACAGAATTTTTCTCTTCTAAATCAGGTTTGGAAATTCTGTTTCCATTCTCAGAAAAATCCACAGTTTGATTCTCGTTTTCCAACCCTCTTAGCCAAGGTATATCAATTTTAGGTAATTTGGGGGTTATGCTATCAACAACAGCTCTTAATTCAGTGTCGATTTCAGGTAAAGATATTCCAAAAGCGAGTACAGATTTCAGATTTAATTCACTGCCCAATGCCGAACTCAAACCAGATATACAAGCAGCGGGAGAAGATCTGGTAACGGAGAGAGGGATGAGATGTTGAGTGAGTAGAGTAGGTTTCGCGGATTTACAAACAAGAACAAGATCAAGACTTCCCCTCTCAAGTTTCTTTGTGATGATGTTGATTCCAGTAAAAATATGATTCCTAAAAATATAATGTATGAATTGAAACAGTGATTCGTTATCAATGGATTGGGTTTTATAGAGGAACGGTTGACATCAAGACTTGAGGGTTGAGGTTGTCATTTCAAATGTCAGAGAATTGAACTTTAAATAAACAACAAATAAAAGAAAGTGTGCAACTGACATTTTAATTCGTTTCAGACATTACTGGGTACAAGTGGGCACTTACATCCTCCACCCTTGAACAATACTCGATAACCCTACATATTATTGCAATGAAAATTATCCACCAAGCTATTGGGGTCGTATTCATTCACAGCATAAATCGATAGAGTTTGGATAGCCATGCTGTATTAATGCTGTTTTTGAGAATATTTTAGCAAAATATTCATTTAACTATGAAATCATAATTTTTAGTTATTATGAATTATTTAAAATCAAAATCACTGTCGAGTAGTTTTCAAGGATACTAATGGATTTGAGTTTGGGGATTTAAAGTTGAAGTCAGGCTTTCTGAAGTCACTGTATTACGGTAAGTGGTAACATATTTACTTTGGCAAAGTCAGAATATCAGACTCTTAATCGCAATATTCAGGATCAGGAGTCTAAATATTCTGTAGAAACTGAAAAAAAATGGAACTTCTTCAGTCTACTAAGGAAGGCTTGCATACACCAAAGTTTTCGATATCAAAATTTATTTTCCTCAAAAGTTTCGACTCAACTAGAGTCTGAATTTTCATCAACTTAGATTCGGGAGTCCAAAGGTGTGTGTACTAATATGAAGGTAATTTTGTTTGCCTACTTTACATCAAGTTGTATAAAAGGAACCTGAACCTATGGGCAGGGGGTATATTCACTTGGCTAACACTGACAGCCATCGAACTCGTAATAATATAACTACCGGTAAATAAGGAAAATCTGAATAAAATTATGGCCTAACCCTAACCACCAGACTCAAGTCAGAATTAAAACTGTCTTCAACTCCGAGTACATTTTGTACAATAGTTTAAAAATACCTTAGCGAGTCTTTATCTTCCAACTTCTCTTGAGATTGTTTTCGCTTTCCTGCTGATCTCACTTTCTTTAGTTCAGGATGTTTCTGGATGAATCTGAAGGGTAGAAACATATGAAATTTTGGTACTTCTGTAGTATGTGTACCAAGTTATCTAAGGTAAGGCCATAATTTTACTCCGATTTTCCTAATTACCAGTTCGGGGACTGTCTGTGTTAGCCAAGTGAATATACTCCCTGCCCACGGGTTTTCTGTCCATTTACACAACTTGATGTAAAGTAGGCGAACAAAATTAGTTACCTCCATATTGGTACATACACTTTTGGAGCGCAGAAATTTAAAATTAGTCAAGATGTTTTAGTTAAGTTGGACAATAAATATTATAATAAACTCAGCATCGTTGCCGAAAGGATTTCAATAGGATAATATGGAGACACCATCTAAAACAGTGTTCCTCAATCAATTCAAGTCAGAGCATCTCTTTAGAATTTGTCATGTCTCGCAACCCACCCTAAAATATAACAAGCTAACAATAAGCTACAAATTCAGATGGGCGAATTGAGGTGAAAGTATGTTTTATTTAAAAAAACACAGTGGATCGAACGTAGGCTATTTATCCAAAATAAAGAAATATGAATATCCAGAATAAGGTGTGCACGATCAAATCTAACAAATATTTCTAATTTTAATTAGCTTCTCACCCCCTAAAATATTGTCTATGTCCTTCTTGTGGAACATGCTCCACTGTTTGAGAACCGCTAAACTAAAATGAATGTTTGTCTGAACTTTGACCCCAGAACAATTCTTCTCATACTTAATAACCATTTCAATTTCTGATGATTATTTTGAGATTGTTTTCACAGATTAATAAATTACTCTTGTGAACTTGCTCACATACTCATAACTATCATCTTAATTAGATCTATTCAACTGCCTACTATTTGAAATACTGCCAGTTAATTTGAGCCTGGTCTATCACATATTTTTCAGGGCTAATTTTGTATTACTGCAAGCAAACTAAAACTTCTTGAAATATGGAAAATAATTTATACCGAAATTAAGTCAATGTTGAACATAAACATAAATCAATGAAAAATTATTAAACAGGTGAACATTTGCTACCTTTTCTCTCAATCTTATATAAATAGCAGAAACAAGTGTTTTTCCCGGAAACAGTCTCAAATCTGCGGCTCTTCATTGAGTTTGCGATGTGGCTAATGTGCGAGATGTTACATTGAACAACGAAGATTTTATCAGCAACTATCTTTTGTGCAATTCTTATATTTTTGAATCGTGAATATTGAATTTTTGTCAAGTAGAAATGCCAACTCTGATATATCAATGGTTCGTTGTGCACCAGCTTTGTTCAATTCTAATCATTATCCAGTGTTTAAAATCATAGCATCACATTTTTTTAAATAGCTGTAACTAATGATTTTGCTTTATGTTCCAGAATCTGGTTTATCAGACATTTATCAATCCAACATAGACAATAACATAATCCAACATAGATTTCTGGGTACTTCCGTAGTGTGTGTACCAGGTTAGGATCGGGACATAATTTTATTCTGATTTTTCTTATTTTAGTTCTATCACGAGTTTGGGGACTGTCTGTGCCCACTGGTGGGATTCAGCTGGTTCACACCGGTTCTATAGAACCGTCTCACAGAATTTTATGAGATCGGCAAACCGGTTAGTAATTAGCATTACTGGTTTATTTGCTGAAAAAATAAGACTTTTTGTAACAGAACCGGCTGACAAAAAATTTGAATCCCACCACTGGATACACCCCCTGCCCATATATTTCAGTCCCTTTACACAACTTAATTTAAAGTAGGCAATCAAAATTAGTTACCTCCCTAATGGTACACACACTTCTGGAGAGCTGATTTCTGAATATCAATGCAAGTGACAGAAGCTAACAAACTTGAATTCAATATTTTAATTTTTATACTCAAAACTGATTTCAATTTTTTATGTTAATATTTTTTTAGAATTTTATTAAATCGAAATCGTTTCGATTCTTACTAAAAGACAATCGTCTTTATATATAAAAATATAACATCGCAGTAAAATAAAAATAATACAAGCAATTGATCAATCACAATAGTTCTTGCTCCTGCGTTCACATTTAAAGGAGACGACTATAGGCTGTGATTGAACATAGGAGAAAAGGGTTTTATTCAATTATATTCCGTAATTGAGATTTCTGTCCAGATAAAAATGGAGAAAATAGAAATGCTAACAATGAACTCGCTTTAAAAAAACTAAAATAAGCATTTGTTTAGAATATACTGGATGATGAGATAGTTTAACAGAATGCCACTTTGTAACATTTCGAGGAAATAAATTTTGTATAATTTTCGAGTTATAGTATTTGTATAAATCACAAAAACTTGGTTTTGGTTTATATTTATGTAACAGAAGTCATATAAGAGATATATGGCAATTTGGTACTAAGCTCTTGAAAAGTTTATTGAATACTGGTATATAGATTTGATAATGTTTCAATATTTCTATAGTATACCATTGCATTCATTTTCAAAAGTTCATTTCTGCTTCATTTTTGTAAGCAGTTGACATGGTCTTCCAGCATTTTTCACTATTCTGATGCTTCAGGTTAGATATCTAAGGTACAAAACTTGGCCAGTCCATAAATAGCCCAACCATATGCAAAATGGAAAACCAGAATATAAATTGTATCCTTCTAAAACCTTTTACCATGTAAGTGAGCTTTTTTAGATCATAAACAAGAAGAAACTCTCAAAAAATTGAATACAACAAACCAAACAAACATTCTTCATTAAGAATCAAAATATAATTTCGATTTTCTGAGCTAAACTGAAATTTTCCACAAACTTATCAAAAACAATACGAGATTTGTGTTAGTTGTAAGAGTGTTTGTATTATCATAAATGGATTGCTCGAGTTTCCACTAATCCCAATGCTTAGTTGCCAATTTTTGTTTCAAAATGAATACTTAGAGTATGAATCACAGATATTCATGTGCATTTTTAGGAGTAAAGGAACATTTATGGCAGAGGTTCCCAAACTGGGGTACATGTACCCCCAGAGGGACATTTCGACTGTGACAAGAGATACATTAAATTGAGTATATATTTATTTCATAGCTTCTAATCTGCCTGAAAATACCTTCTCAGTACTGGATGTAAAATAATTTGAAGACCTGAGTTCAAGAACTCCTTTCAAAGTCAAATTTTCACTCACTACAACTACAGTAACCACCATGTCTACGATCGCAAATTCAAATGATCTATTTCGTCCAATCATAGTACAAAAGCCAATTGGGGGGTTCGGTACACAGGCGATTCTACAAATTGTGCATGGGATATCAAAGTACATAAAGATAGGGAAACCCTGATTTGGAGCAAACTTCACCTGTAGAATCTTGCCATAATTAAAATGTGAGTAACTAAGCTTGGTTTAATGAGAATATCATTAATTGCTTTATCTGTCTGAACTTTCTCTTGTTCTCTCTTAAACAGTTTTTCGTTATTCTATTGGATTAGCTGGGCACCATATCCATAGATAATTATAATTTTCTTGTCAGTGATGACTGGAACTTCTTGGGAGTCTTGTACTAACTAACGACTGACTATTCACTGACATCTATGCCACAAATATAAACCATTGGTAACCTTTTGGTAAACTTTATATAAATCTTGAAATTTGTAGAAGCACAAGTGGCTTCTACAAATCTTCCAAGTCAGCGTTTCACAATTGGGAAAGAATTTTGTTGTTTTAGAGGAGAAAAAACAGTAAGTTCACTTCATATTCCATTTCGTTTTAGTTATTTTGTTTCATTAGGCTATTTAATATCATTGTAATACTTATAATATAGATAAACTATTCAAATTGCACAAGAGCCAGGGTGGGAGTTGTGCATAACACTAGCTAAACATCCTTCCATAACAATGAACGAAATCAGAGTTTTCAAATATAGTTAAAAGGGGGAAGGAGGAGATCCAAAAGAGGCAAAGGGAGTAGTGTATCAGTAAAGGTTGAGAACAACTTCTTAATTAAGTTTTGGATATATGAACCATACTAGAAAATATGAAAAGAATGAAATCTCTCACCTTTTTAACTCTGAAAGAACAAATGAATTGACACCTTTTTCCAGTTGTGGCCTGTTGAATAAATAAATAACAATACTTCAATAAAACATGGATTGGGCAGTTTTTCAAAGTAAGTATTCAAATGATTGTTTCATAATTGAAAAGTACATTTATGAAAATATAAAAATAATTTTATTAAATTATGAGGTCGTTGAATTTTACACAAAAAATCAGATAAAAACTCAAAATAAAATTACAGATGAAATTTTATTCAGTCTAATGAAACGAAAATGGAGTCAGGATTTTCTGCCATTGCTTAATGTATTTACGAATAATACATACAACTAGGACCTTAATTCAGAAACACTCCAAATTGCTAATTTAAAAAAAAAACAACAACATCTAAAGTGGTCGAGAACATCACAGCTTCGCTGTTTCATGCCTGTTCCAAATGAAACCCAAATAAAAACATTCGTAACCCCCTGTTTGTAAACTTAGTTACCGTCGAATATGGAATAACAGTCGAAAATGAGTGCAAATGAGTTTGATATTGGAAATTGGCAAAGTATTCCCCGAACAATGGCTGGCAAGGCAGTCCAGGTGCACACAACACTGGAATATATTTGATGGCGTTTCGCTGTAAAATACAAGCAATTTCAAGTTTGTCAAACGTCCTATGACATTTCACATTATACTTTTGGCGCACTGTTTCAATACTAGAGTAACCCCCCCATTAATAAAATCCTGACTGACATATGCTGTCATATACTTTCAGCCTATGTTCCCTGAAAATGCCACAGAATGTGATTGATCAATTATCATTGCCTTTATTTGATGAGGAATGACAGAATTGTGAATGTCTGAATTTCTAATCATTGAAATTATCTCATCAAAAACATTTCCTTATTTAAACCTATGAATAGATCATCTAATAATTCTTTTCTTAATTTCAAAATAGACTTTTGTTTGTAACAATCCTTGATTTTTTATGTTCACTCAAAGCAAGGGTGTCAAACCTTTAACTAAAACACATAACAATACAGACTTTAGAAATTCAAAAATTAATGATTACTGTAACTATTTTTCAAGTTGAATTTCATAAAGTTGAATTTCATAAAGTACAATCAACATAGAATTAATATTTCAGTTCTGCAATTGATAAAAAACCTAAATTTGAATTTAATGTCGAACTTTTTTTATAGATTATATTCAACACCCTTAGGCGTGATTTATTGTAACGAATATTGTTTTGTTAAGTCTAATGAACATGACAGTGAAGGGAGTGCCATTGTTTCCTCTGTCACTTTGGAAACTGAAGTGTTCAGAACCTTATCTACATAATTACTTCAATTCTAGCATTTCTATTTTGACTCATAAAATTTGAATTTTTGTTGAGTTACTTTAAGATTGGCAAATGAGTATAATAATGTTCATTACAGTAAAATGTGACACCACACACATTCGTTATAACTTATAGTCTTATAAAAATTGTTTTTATAAGGGTTTATAAGTAAAATGTACAATAAAGAGTTACGGTAAGAAAATTCTAATTTATGTTAACTATTAAAAACAATTTTGTAACATTATGCATGAGTTTGATATGTTTAAATGTAACCAAGAACTTTATCAAGTTAATTATTTTTGAAAAATGTGCAAGACCACATCAAATCTTTAATAGTAAAGTTATCAAACATAAGAAATTAAATTTACTTCAAAATTTATAGTAGCCTACTATGAAAAATATCTAGGAAAACCAAATTTGAATAAGGGCTTACTGCTATCAAATTGAAAACAATGTCATAAAACGATGTCATAAATTCAGTAAACGGGCTTTTTCGGCGAACGAATAAAAATAGTGCAATACAAATGCAGTGAGTCCATGCCACTCATATCAAACACACAATAATTACAATAGTGACTACGTTTCATGGAGCAAAAGAATAAAACAAACTATGAATCATATTGAAACAACTCATTGATAGACATAAATAATGATACAAATTTCAACAAGGAAATACCGTATTGTATCTACATATCTTTCACATAGACTGTATATTTAATATCATACATAAATACAAATTTAATGATGAAGTGTGTGTACCAATATAGAGCAATGGAGGAACTAATTTTTTTCGCCTACTTTACATCAAGTTGTGTAAAGGGACTGAAACCTATGGGCAGGGGGATATTTACTTGGCTAACAGTCCCCTAACTCGCAATAGAACTAAAATAAATAAAATTGGAGTAAAATCATGGCCTAACTCAAACCTGGTAAAGACACTACGAGAGTACCAATTTAATTTCATTAGTTTGAATCTTATTTTGTTCATTCCTAACCGAAACTGGTTTGAAATCTGAATAGCTGGCTCTACAGCCACGGTACAATAAAACTGTGGTTCTGGTACCAGAGCTTCATTTTCTTTAACTTGGAGAGAAGTTCCAGCCTCAGATCAGTATCGAATGGTGTTTTCGATATGACTGCTGCCATAAAACCAAATACAGTTTTGTGGCAGTGGGATTGAAAACCATAATTATTAGAGTTTCAAATTTGGATATTAATCTTAAAACTTATATTTTCACAAATTTAACTTGAAACTTTTAAGTCATTTCAAAAATAAGATACTGAATGATATTATAAGCTAAATAAAGATAGACTTTATGTATTTGTACATGAAGTAGTGAAAAAAATAATTAGCTGGTTCGAAGCTGAGGCCACTGAAGTTTCTGCTAAGGTGGTAAAGCCCAGGGCTCCCCAGCCCTTCTCCAACCAGAGAAAAAACTGCTGAACACCACACAAGGAATGCACAAATGGTTTATAAACTAGAGGGCAATACCATGCAGGCATCCCAGTCAAATACAACAGTGAAACACACTGAAACCACAGCCTAGAGTGAAAAGCATATACCAAGATAGAACCTCTACAAACCAATTTAAATGCAAACTCACCAACTTAAATTGAACGGCTCTTGAAGACAATTTTTCAAGATTTGTTTCTGAGGTTTAGGGGGCATTGTGTTGCATTAAATATCTCTCCATGATATTACTCCTAGCGCATATCTGTATGATTCAAAAGTAAAATTAAAGGTTAGAACAAGCTCAATAGGAGTAATTAAATTGATTTATATTCATTGTGAAATAAAATGTTAATACTCGAGCTGGAGTCTGATAAAAAAAAAAACATGAATCAGACTTCCAACTCCTGGCTAATAAACTATTCCAGCTCAGCTCTGGATAAAATTCTAATCTGACTCTGGGTTGAAAATAATTTCGACTTCAGCTCCAAAATCAAGAAAACAAATTTAGATACCAAAAGTTTCTGCACATACAAACTTTCTTTAATTGTCTGTTGTTTTGAAAATGCTGAAAAACTTGATGCCCTTTTGAGTCTCTATCATAAATTCTAACTTTGATTAGCACTATTGAAAGTCTCATTCCAAAGAATTCAAACTTTTGACTCTGGCATGATTACCAATGACTCTGACTCCATAGCTCTGGTTTACAAAATTTGTAACTTTCAACAACGGATAGGAAATCACGTCTCGAATCCCATTCTGTTCTTAAAACTTTACATAAAATGTAACATGCAGGTTATATTTGAAAGAGGGTTAAGCTGAGTAAATGAGAAAAATAACTCGACAAAATTATAATACTTGGATCTCATGATTAATCTGCCAACTAATTGACCCTGAACTCCTTGAGCAAGGTTTGTCTACTTTGATACTAAGTTTATATACTAGTACATTGGTTCTCAAAGTGCTCCATAGAGCAGCGCTACTCAACTATTTTTATCGAAGGTCCGCAAACAAAACTTCAAAATTATTTGGGTCCGGTCTTTCCAGAAATGATATTTCGGCATCCTTAAACGAGCACTTCCTCGACCAACTAATGATTAGTAGCAAATTAAAATTGTTTATTATGGTGTTATAGTTCTTTTCGTATATATTCAAAACTATGAAAGTCATTTTATAATAGGAAATTCAAAAAGTGGGGCTAATGATCCAAAATAAATAATTAGGTGCGGTCCAAATCCAGTACTCGAAAGGTCCGGATTCGGACCGCCAGTTGAATAGCCCTGCCATAGAGCACCAGGGCTCAGTAAAAGAAATCTAGGGGCTCCGTGAACTATTCATTTACTTTTTAAAATAATATTATTTCAATATAAAGCAGAAAATACATCCGAGCCATTGACTAAAGTGATTTCAGTTTACTCAGGACAATTGAAATGTGTTTTTATCTATCTCAAGTTTATTGTGGGGTTCCATAAATAATAGTCAACCTCTTCATGTGTTCTACAATACCGAAGGTTTGAAAACCCCTTCACTAGCAAATATACCTGATGACAAAACATCTTTTTTTTTTAATTTCGTATAAAACAAAACCCCAACCATTTATGGCTCCAACCCATATAAATTAGTCGAAAAATAGTTATTTTTGGTAGACAGCTTTATATTTTAAAGCATACCAAACATCTCACAACTATTGGCTATGTTTGAAAAAAGGGAAATCTGATGAATGCATTTGAAACATGAAAATTTTCGCATGGAGTGTTTCCTTACTGGGATCGAGTAAATAGTTAATTTGATATATGCTAGTTCAAATTCTATACGAGTAAAAATAACTTTATTATTTTATTCAGGTGGTCATCAAAGACGTGTTTGTGGTAGATAAAGAATGAGCTTTAGAGAGGAAATTAGCAGAAACTTTTGTTTTGAAAGAAGATTTAGTTACTATAACAGATATCAATGGCTGGTTACAGCTTATGTTTGAAATTCGAAGAAAAACTGATAATCGGTGACCAGATGTATAAGTATCAAGCAAGAATAAGATATTTTTTTTCTATGACAAAACTATTCTTTTGAACTTATTAAAGATTGAACCTGTAGCTCTATAAGTATTGCGATTTACATATCAAGTATTTTTAATCAAGCTTATCTTGAAAGTTTATTTCATGACTAAAAACAATTTTATACATCACAATTCATAATGACATTTGAGAACTGCGATTTTTATTAAGGGGAAAAAAATCTGGGATTACCCTTTGAAAATGAAGGGAGCAGAAATACCTAATAAGAATCAAACTTGATCATTCTTCGTTAAATTTTTTACACATAAGCTTTGATATAAAATCAGATTTTTATAACAGTTTCGAACTTGGTAAACAACAAAATAAAACTAAAAATATTTAGAAAATTGTTATCAATTTTTTATGTCATTTTCAATAATAATAATTTTTTAGTGAGATCTATCTTGTCGCATTTCGATGATTAGAAAACAAAATTCTTTAAGTTGTATTTGCCAGTTCTTTTAAAAATTACCACATTCATTTACAATGAAGAGAAACTAATTAGCCGTTCTAGAATTACAGTTGGAAAAAAAATAAGATGAGAAATTAACTAGCATTTCCAGCTGTTTATTTTGTATAAAAAAGGCCATAAAAGAGAAGTCAATATCATCAAGAAGTCGACAACATTGCCTACAAGAAAATTGAAACTAAAAAACTAAGTTGTCAATTCTATCACAATTCAGCAATTACAGAATTAGGTGTTTACGATCAAGAAAAATAACATTTATAACCTTATAAGTGAATTAGAGTTATTTTAAATCATTCGAATACAAGTATACATTAAAATTTGCATGGGATCCCAGAATTAAATCATGTGTGAATGAATTCTAAGAATATATTGTAAATGCTGGTCAAGGGTCAGGTTGGCATTTTATATTCATGCAGGTCCAACTGTCCACAATGGCGAACCGGTAGGGTACCAGCACCCTAGATTTTTGAATAAACCAGCCTATTCCCACATGCCCTGGACACATAACAAGATTCTTGGTTCATCAATAAGTCATCTGACCGGCCTACCTCTGAACTGGAATATTTAAAAAAAAAATACTACGGTACTACGATGAATCTAATTTATTTACATTCCAGCAAAACAGTACGACCAGGAAAAGATACTAAAAACCCCAAAATGTGGCACAAAGTCGTAAGTGGAAAATTACTTTTAACGCGTAGTTTGAACAAGCAATTATTCACTTCCCCATCACTATTTTAAGATTACAATAACCTAGACTAACCTAAACAAAATAGCCCAAAACTAGTGAAATGTCGGGGAAATGGCCTCGCTGACCCAAAATTCCAATTCTCCCACGATTAGTTTCTTGCTTAATGGCGCTGCGAGTGGTGAAATAATTTTACGCAATAAAATTTCATTCATGGTTTCACTAAAATATTACGTCATAATTATTACCGGAAAACCGGGTAACTTCGAATGCCTTTCCACAATGGTGATAATGAAAGTCAAAATTGAATGGATTTTTACATATTTATCACGGAGAAAATAAAACCTATTGAATAGCTTAATTATATGGCAAACCACGCCTCTTGTTTGGTTACCAGCTCATGTTGGGTATAAGATTAGTTAGCTAGTTACTTGTTCCAGATGCATGTACTTGATGCTGGAGAAATCTGCATTATGGAGGTAAAAGTACTAACCGTAGGCATCAATTGGTAAAAACGAAATGAATTCAAAACTCGGTAAAAATGACAAGGACTTGAAATCAAATCGAGTCCAAAATACGCGTCGATTCGACCCGCCTGTGAGTGCTGATCCAAGTTTCGGCCTATCCCGAGAAATTACTGCTATGCCTCTATATTCCACAAAAAGCCCCGAAATCTAGGGAATTCGTTGTTGATGATACGATAAACATTATTAATAACAACTTAACATATTGCCGAAGAATTCTGCAAAATTGTCCCGTCACAAGATCATTTCAAACAAAATTGAACTCAGTTCTGCAGAATCAAATTCACAACAGAAAAGGTACTAAATGGAACAACAGTTTTTTAGATGTCAAATCGCGACGAACTTTTGATTTCGTATGAAAGAAACCATAAATGAGAAGCAATCTCATCGAGAAGACTTGAAAAATATATATTCTATGAAAAGTTCCTTTAGGTTGTTTAACCACTGGATTTTAATATTTAGTTATTTTATACGAAGATGGAGACAAAAGTTGTGATATATTTTTTTACAGTAATGCCACTTCAGTATGCGATCACAGTTTCAACTCAACGATGACAGCGGGTTAGGCTTCTGATTCTGAGATAAAACGCATATCGAAGTGGACCCGAACTTTTCTAAGTTACTGCTGCTTCATTGCAAACCGAACCCTGTTGCTGTTTTGGCTCTGGTAGACAGTCTCCATTCTAGAGCAGTGCTCGTCAACCGTGTGTATAGTAAACCCCGCTGTGTATCAAAAAGATGGAAGCGTGCACCACATTGATAGGATGTACCAGGGGTGTACCGTACCTAATGTTGTGGCTTGTGGAGTTCGATTTTGAATGTCTGGATCAGTGCCTTCAGTGGTTCACAAACTAGGAGAATTGCCCCCAACGGAAATTATTGGTGTAGTCCAGACGTTGTCTGTTTCAGCAATTCATTTTATGATCTGTGTACTTTCATAATAGTCATAGTCATAGTCAATTTTATTTTTTCCAACCAGCAAAAAAATAACATACAAAATCAAAAGATAAACAAAATTTAACACACATTTTTACTGGGGAAGGGAATCCGCGGGGAACCAAATTTGGTTATCGAGCAGCGACACCCAAATAATAACATATAATAACAATAATAACATGACTTCGCAGTAGAGATTGTAGGCTAAAATGTTCGGATCGGGAGATGCCATACGACCATACGTGTTAGTATTATCGCCATGTTTACTCAAAGGAAAATTGATAACAATATCAATATGACTACTGAATTTCCATGAAAGGGGTAATTGCGTTATTTGGTAATTCTATTCAAGGCCAAGGGTATCGATACAAAGAAGTTTGGCAACCACTGGTCTGGGCTATCTCATTAGTACTTGTGAATGGAATAATAGAAACCCAAAAATGGAAACCGGGATGCAATTGTACATGTGCAACTTGATGTGTTGCTGCTAAACTTCGGAGCCAATTTCCCGGATGCTCTTGTCCCACCTAACTGGTGAACTGTTTGAATTACGATCAGATTCGGCACGAAAGGCAGAGTACAAAACATATAAAACTACAGCGAATTCAGCACTACTAGAACTTTCAGAGTATCGCAATCGCACAGCAAAGCTGTCACTATTCTTGTCCGAATGCCTACAACATGTTTTTCGCAATCATTGAAATTGAACAAAAAATATTACTACCTTGCTCTTTAGAACTGGATGATGGAATCCCAGAGCAGCGTTCACAATACCCAAATAATGAACTATTGCGTAGACATGAACAAATGTAGATATGTAACTAGACATTAAGTTCTCTGTAGGATGGGTGTACCAGATTTCAAGAAATATGTTGACATTTTGTAAGAGGCCAAGGGTTTGGGCAGAGTGCAACTTTTACTTCATGCTTGGAAGCCTACTTTAATATAACCTTAATCATTTACTCGGTATTAGCTCTATTTACAAAGCGGCCGGAAATGTGGCGTTGTGGTGTACCCCCGATTTTATATTGAAAAGTCACAGCGTTTTATAACTATGATGAAGCGTACAGCTTTTTATTTATATTATTTAGAATGGAAGGGGATAGCGCGAACGCAGTCCCCACTAACAGAAATTACACGACCGAGTTATCCACATTTGGGATAATCGCTAGGGTCAACCTGGCCCAAGTGCAATGGCCAAGCCTCGCCTAGGCAGAACCGCCTGCGTGATCGCGGTTGACTGCCTCGTCAGGTAAGTATGAGTTCTGCAGCGAATTTTGTAACTCCTAGGGCAAGCGTTTATGCTAACTGTTGTGGTGCGAAACGCGGGAAACCAATCAACGCGCGCAAAATGTGATTCTCTTCTTTTATCTCACTTCCGGGACTCTCTCGTTTATTCTCACGGCCGTTCTCTCACCAGCCACTCTTTTAATCAGGCTAGCTTGTCTCGGCGTTCTGTTGTTGATAAATAGTGTAATACTGTAAGTGTTTATGCGCTCGTGCATAGTTCTATTGGTAAATTTTGTAAAGCAGAACCGCCTTCCAAACTTACGAAAATAATCACACATTGGACGTGCAATCAAACGCCAAAAATACACAAATATTCTGTGTTTATTGATTTTATTTGCTACATCCGCGAGTTCGGAAGAGTTCGTGAAACACCGCCTGCGCAGAAGCTAACTTTGAAAAACGTGTGTACTGTATTTGTATTGAATGAAAGAAAATAGTTTTGTTTGAACCATAAAAAAAATATATTTCCAATTCCCCTCTATGGTTTAACTAGCAACAAGTCAAAAGATAAAAAAAATAATAATAATCTCAACCATCTGCATAATATTATCTGAATGAATTGATGGAATATACGATGGTGATGGGAATTATGATGCATGGTGACATTCAATGGACTATAATGAATATTATTGTTTTAACACAAATTATAAAAAAAATAAGTCGAAAGATACACATTCTAAACTATCAGAGTTGCAGGGTGTAGGGAATGTGAATGATCAAATTGAAGTGAGAAAACATAGGCATAACATATCATTTTTAATTGGTATTTTAATTGGCATTTAATTTTAATTGGTATTGGAGCAGTATACTTGATTGAGCAAATTATTTAGCAGATAATGTGGAGACTAACATCAAGTAGTTCTAATATTCAAATACAGTGTGTCCCAAAATAAATAAAACCCATTAATTTGATTACCAATTTTGTGGGTTCCATTCATTTTGAGACACCCTGTATATTGATTGATTAGTACCAGGAAAAATTATGAAAGATCTTATCCATTAGGTCTTACCTTCAGATACAGTGATACTTATATACAAACATATTATTTTTATCCATGCTTGGTAAGAATAAATATTTTCAATTTCAAGTGCTATTTTGGATTTTAATTGCTTAGCCTATATACAATTGTCAGTCATAGTTTGTAGGATGTCTGGCTTGAGCTGACTTTTGTAATGAAAAATTGTGTAATATCCAGATTGTGCCGGTGGTATAAAATACTGCATTTTTATCAATGTTACAACAGTTTGATTGAATTTTATTTTTTACACTATAAAATTAAATCAGGTGAATTTGATGTCACTAAAAGCCAAGCTAGATGCTGTGCCTGATGTCGAAATAGATTGTTTCGGTACATTCAAGTATATCCAGATTAGAGTACATACTGAAGGTGATGACAACAAAATTATAATTCGTGGTAATTGTAACGCTGATTATCACTCAGATATTTTTGAGGAAGTAGGACCTGGAATTGACGCTCTTGGTCTTGATGCTTCACCTATAGCTGGGGGAAGGATTCGTCACGAACCAGATGAAAAAATTCTGAAAGTTTATGGATATTCAATGGGATATGGAAAAGCAGATCATAGTTTGACAAAGACAATTTTGCAAAAGAAATACCCAGACTATAAAATTGAAATATCTGATAAAGGATATTAAAAACTATTTAAAAGTTTAACTGTTGCATGCTGCGTGAATCATGAATATAATATTGCTCAAAGAACGGAAACAAACCTCAGACCCATATCATATTGCATTAAAAGAGTTTGGGAACGTCATATTCATACCTGTTCTGTCAATCAATTTTGTCAACTTGGATCACTTTGAAAAACTGGTAATTTTTTGTTTATTTCAACGAATTCTGCATATTGTAGTTATAGCAGCATTATTTAAATTCAAACACAGAAGTCTTCAGACGTCTTTGCGGTATTGAATATCTGCATAATTTCTACAAATCTTCTTGGGTTAAATTGTAAAATTTATCTGAAAGATATTATTGAGTGAATTTGATTCAAAGCCCCAATTCAGTACAGTATTCCCCAGCCCCTAGGGGTTTGTGATGACTGCACGGGGGGCCCACAAAGATATGAAAAGAGTTCAAAACATATATAGTACAAATAAATCATGATTTTATTAAATTGCCGTTAGCCTGCCAGTATTCAACATTAGTATGTATTGTTTCATGAGTTTTATTTTGTCAAAGGTTAATTTTCCTCATCGGTTAGGCACAGAAATTGATACGACGTGGGGGTCTGTCAAAAATAAGTTTTACTAACAGGAATCCGCAGCCCAAAAAGTTTGGAAAACACTGGTTTATTGAAATTTATATTTTTCATCAAATTGTGATAGTGACTCTGAAAGTTACCTCTTTGAACTCCTCCATCCTAAAATATCATTCAATACTTTTAGAATGTTTGAGTTCGTGTTCCCTTCTTTCATAATAGCGATTTCTAACATTTCTTGTCTTCAATTATTTTTCAGTTGTCTCAAGACACATATGATGGTATTATATTCACAAGTGGAAATGCTGTGAAAGCCACGAAAACAGCACTAGAAAAAATAGCATCATCAATCACCAAAGTATCGTTGCAAAAAAATTGTTACGTTGTTGGCAAGGCAACAGATAAATTGGGTATGATTCAAAATTTTTGTTTAATTGCAAGTGATTGTCCATTTCAGAGGTTACCTACAAATTTGGTGTGTTAAAGTAACCTTTTGTGAAATCATTTCTCTCCTTGTTACTGTATTTTGTTTACCGTAATTCGGTATTTAACATCTATGATATATAAATTGGTTTGGAATTAAACTGTGAACCGACACTGAAGAGTCTTGAAATTAATATTAGTATGACTATAATATGAGTAGTTTCAGTGTTCATCATCTTATTCGTTTATTCAATATTAATGATGGGTTCTCTTGCCATAAATATATTTTGAGTTCAAATCATTCAATTATGTTCAAGTGACAAACTGTGTTGATGTTTATTTTATATTTAGCTTCTGAGATTGGTTTCAAATGTTCTGGATCAGGATGTGGAAATGCAGAGGAGTTGGCGAAGCTAATTATTGCAGGTCTGTTATTTTGCTTATGATGAGTAACACTCAGATTAACTGAATTTGCAAGTTTAGGTAAATTCAACTTTATAGTCTGAGTAATACTCTCCATATTTATTGGTGAATATAGAGATCCATTGGAAATTGGGTAAATTCAACCAACCTTTTTTGTTAAATTTCTCTTTCATTATGCATAAAAACTACTATATTTATTCAATCTTTAATAAATCCTTAGCTATTGTTATATGCAAGTCGCACTGCTGTTTATGAACAGTTTAAGTACCGTTGTTTATCATGTGTTCATGAATGAGTATTATACAATTTAAAAAATGAAAGAATATTAGTAATACTAAAGCGTATACAAATTGAAATTTCTCCCCAGAATTAGTGCATGCAAAATTTAAACGGGTATGTTTGAACAATATGTTTTCTGCATTTTAGAAAATTCTTCAACCTCTTCTAAAGGTTTCCTCTTCCCATGTGGGCAATTGAAACGTGAGACTTTACCAAATATGCTGAAAGAAGCAGGTATAGCATTATAAACACTTTGTTGTTTTAAGCTTTAAGTGTAACTAATTCATGTGTGCAAAGAAGAATTTTTTAACTCAAAGATTGTGGAACAACTTGACACTCTAGAACCAAATACATTTAAATTATGGAAGCTTTTTAAGTTCGAATATCTTTAACCATTGGTTTGACACTACAAAATTTTATTGTCTGGAATTCTTTGGGCATTTTTTAGTCTATTCGTTAAGCATGTGTTTAAAAATCCATTTACAGTCTGTTACCAATTTTAAATTTTTTTTTATAGATCGAGGTTTCTCTGCACAAGTCGTAAATAAAAATAAGTGATATTAAAAATAATAATGGTTTTATTATGGGAAATAAATATCGAAGATTGCACCTTCTGGTTGAGCATTTTATGTCTTGCACCTATTTCCACTGACATTGGTACAGCCTGGATAACCTCTTTGTAACTTACTCAATTAGCTTCTTTTAGCTGAGAACAACAAATTCATAACTTTCTGTTGTGCTGTATACTGCTTCATAACATGCCGCCTATTTGATTTGATATTTTCAGGATTCAAATTAAGATGCTAACCTGTATATGAAACAAACAGAACATCCAAAAATATTTGAATTTCGTATATTCTGATTAAAAATGATAAATTATCAAACTTGTCACATTTCATTTAAGCTTGTATCAATTCAAACCTACATTGGTGCAGCCTTGATAATCTTTTTCCAACTCTTAACTTGGTGCTTCAGAAGTGTGTGTACCAAGATGGGTGTATCTAATTTTATTCGCCTACTTTACATCCAGTTGTGTAAAGGGACTGAAGCTTATGGGTGTATATTCACTTGGCTAACACAGACAGTCCCTGAACTCGTAATAGAACTAAAATAAGGAAAATCGGAATAAAATTATGGCCTAAGCCTAACCTAGTACACACACTACGGGAGTACCATTAAATTTTCTGTTCTGTGCTGTTGACTTTTTTTACTAAACATTCCTATTTGTTCAGGAATCAAGCTAACGTGCCAAACTGTATATGAGACGACCGAACATCGAAAAATAATTGAAGCAATTGAGAAGCATAAGTCTCAGAATATGAATCCTACTATCGCAATCTTTTTCAGTCCTTCTGGAGTTCAATTTTCTCTTCCAAAGTTCAAACAAGTTTATGGTGAAGATTTAAATGGATTTTATGTAAGTCGTAACAGCGATACTTTTGCAGAAATAATTTTTAAGCTGGGATTTATTAATCCTTTTTCAACTTGAATTTGTGACTTCACTTTTACTATCAGTCAAGCAGTTATCTTCCCTTCTTCCTTCTTAGGCGCGGCGGTGTGGCTCAACGGGTTAAGCGTTAGGAATACGCTCGCCACCGCACCTCTAATTACTCTGCGTGGGTTCGCAGGTTCGAATCCCATGCAGGAATGGTTATGTGCGAGAGGATTGCTGGACTCCTCGCCGTTGTTGGGTGGTTCACGTAACCGCTGGTCGGTTACGGCTTCCTCCACCACCAAGTCCATGCTTCCGAAAACAAACAATACAGTATAACTAACTAATCCCATACCCGGCTTGGAATGGTAACCGGACGAGAGGCCGTGGTTCGCCATATGGATAAGCCGTCTTATCGGATTTCCTCTCCCCCGGGATAAATATGTAAATCCTATCCTATCCTCAAAATTCCCCTATTCCAACTAATTTAATACTGTAATGACTTCTTTGAAAAAGGTCTTGACACATTCTAGTGGTGCTTGAGAATTGTGACTTTATTACTAAGTAAGTTGGCATTGGAAAAGAATCTTGTATAACCCATCTTATTAAAACTTTGTGATGTATTTATGTCTTCGATCTGAACAAGGTTCTGCACAACCCACCACTGCTAGTAGGGAGCTACTATAGTTTGAAAGTATCTAAATCTTTTCTGGTTAGGTGTTGCAAACCTAGTTTATTACACCCTTGGTGAGGTGGTGGGCACGGGATTCGAATCCAAGATTTTACCAGGTGACGCCATGATAGTTCGGTCTATGCCACCACACTAGTCTCACCTAGTGCTGAAGATATTCAGTCCCAACAATGATATCTTGTTTGATAAGACCTGAACATGTGGCAATCCCCAGGTCATGATGTTTGTGATGAAATGCTTTGATAATATAACTTTATCTAGGTTTTTACATATTACTGGCATTAATCATAATTGTGGCAATATGAAAATAAATTCCTAATTTCACAGTGTGCTGCAATTGGACAGACAACATCAGAAGCATTAAAACAAGCTGGAATCCAACCGTGTTGTGTTGCCGAACATCCCAACCCTGACTCCTTATATTTGTCTATCAAATCATTTATTTCAAGTATCGAAAATAAGTCATGACTTTGATGAGAAAGGATTAACTTCATATATCACCAAAGCATCAACTCCCTGTTTCTCCTCTTTTGACAATGACTAATCAGCAATGAGTTCACGATGACATAACAATTGAAATTTGACAAAATAGTCCGATGCTTTCTTCACTCACACAAAATTTCCAGCATGGTCGTAAACAGACTTTGATGCAGATTTTGGTGTTATTACTTTTCAACTAGATAATTTGAAACAAAATAGTGATTTTGGAAGATGAAAACCTGTATTTACACCCCAACTTGCGAAAACATTACTAAAATAGCACAAGAATTCGGCAATGGATAAAAGGTGTGAATAACTTTAATAATATACAACGGCTGTTCTCCCTAAATCATTACCATATATGTGAGTGAATATATCATCAGACATAAAAATGTTTTCAAACTGGGTTCGGTGTGATTGTTAATTTGCCCCAACTATGCTGACATGACCTTTGTTTGATCACTGTCTATGCATCCACTATTGGTTCAGAGTTGTCTTGCAGCTTAATATCCTTGAGCACCTCTAAGCGTACCCTGTGGTGTATTAATATAACGAAAAAAAATGCGATTGGGGGTCCTATTTGCGTTCTATTTTGTTTTATCTGTGTTCCCGTACAATAAAAACGGATTGTTATTATAGAGTTGTGCAGCAACGTTTTCGTGGGGATTGTGTGTAGGTTGTGCTAAGGTTTATGAAATCGCTTGCGAGCGCATCTTATTACTCGTCTGGCTTGGCAGGTTCGAATCCTGTTTTTTTTTTTTTTTGTGTGAGAGAGGATTGCTGGACTCCCCCCGCCGTAGGGTGGTTTGTGGCTCGGTTATGGCTTCTCCACCATCAAAGCCCATGCATCTGAAAACAAATAACTGGTTACTAATCCCATACCCGCACGCCTTTGTCAGATATATGAATAAGCCGTCTCATTGGTTTTTTTCTCGCTCGTGATGGATATAAAAACCCTAATTTGATATGCGTCTCCAAAGTTTGGGTTTTATATTAGCTGTGTGGAATGTCTATGCGATTTCATCAAGACTATTTATTGTTCCACGGAGTCAGTGTTACGTCTTGTCATTCTATATTAATTCAATTGTGTTCAAGGTAACTCGCGGCAGCGTCTTCTTATGACAAAATAAAAACAGCTCTAAAATTATGAAAAATGGTTATATATAGTTTTGATAAGTATTTTTGCAATCTTGTAAAGTCGTTATAGCCGTTAGAAAAATTCAAGGTCTGACATGGGTCGTCCTAGAGTAAAATTTGATTAGTACAATAAAAATCCATATGAAGTTTATATATTATTAATCAAAAATAAATAATTGTCGCCTCTAAATCCCCGCGGGACGTCTTCCGAAAAAGTCATCGCGATCAGGCTCAAGGCCGACTTTTTCAACGGATAATGTTTCTTCTGTTGCGTCACCCGTTAAATGATACTTTTAGCTCATATTGATTTATCGGCTGCAGAAAATATATTTATTTATTTTATTTGAAACGTCCTAGGATATAATGAAAAAAACGTCATAATTTTCGTGCGCTCCTGCGTTTTCGAATCTCAGTGGGAGATATTGGTTTAAAGAAATACGTCGAAAACGCCCCTCTTAACACAAGCTGGCAAATCCGAAATGAAATAATTAGAATTTGTGGGGAAACGGTTCGTCGACATATCCTCAAACAAATCAAAACGTGCCAAATTTTTCACTGTGTTAGCCGACGAAACAAGCGATATAGGACGGATGGAACGATTTTCGATCTGTATCAGATACGTTGACAAAGAATCCAACCAAGGGGTCATCAGAGAAGATTATTGGGATTTGTTGAAGCAAAGAATTTGACTTTGCTGAGTTACTTCTGAACACTTTGCGCAACTGGGGGTTGAAAATGGAATTTGGCGATGTCGCCGTAAATATGTACGGAAGTTTCAGAAGAGTTCATGCTATCGTGTAAGAAGCCTATCCGAATGCTTGCTACACACACTGTAATTTGCATTGTTTGAGTTTAGCCATCTCACTCGCATGCAGTGATGCCTCTTTGAAATAGGCCCTAAAAACATGCAAGACGTGATGATTTTCTTTAGCGGAAGCCTGAAGCGCACCAACGTGTTGGCCGAGGCCATAACAGCATTAATGCCATCAAGTCGTCGCACAAAGTTGAAATTAGTCTGCGAGGCTCGTTGGGCAGAAAGACCCGACGCAGTTATGGTATTCCGTGGATGATTCCCAGCCATTGTTGATGCTTTTAGCCAAAGCAAGCACTGGAGTGATACAATAAGCGCTGACAAGGCAGAAACTAAGAAATACCGAATTAGAACGGCCGAATTTGTGTACAACTTAATAAATATTGGAAACTGTTTTGGGAATAACTCATCAGCGCTCCTTATCCTTGCAATCCAGAGAAATAGACACAGATAAAAATTGTTTCCTGTTTCGAGCGGTTAAAGAGAAGTTACAGGAGACTCTTAACAACGTAGAAAGAGAATTTTCCGCAATATTCAAAGAAATAGTGACAATGCTAAATGAAGAGAAAATTTCTTTATTTGGCAGAAGACTACGTTCGAAAGATACCCGAGTACCGGAGCAGCAACTTGGAGAAGGAACACTTTCAAAGAATGATCGACGAATTATATCGGAATGATTCGGCCATACCTTACAAAAAATCGCAAAACGCTTTTTCGTAATCACTGCCTACATGCCCAAAGATGCAACTGTTTTAACCGGAGCCTCGTAGTTGTTCAAAAAATATCGGGACATGCTCGATTTTTGGCCCATCTTTAAGGCGGTGCTTGCTTTGTGCGAGCGAAAGTGGGAAAAAAGAAATCCGACGCATACACATTTGTCGCGAAATGCGCTCGATGCCTTTAACGCAGCTGATGTTGATTTTTATCCAAAAGTGAAAAAAACTATTGCAAATTCTCGCAACACTGTCCGTTTCCACGGCCTCCGCTGAGAGATCCCTTTTCTCAACTAAGAACGCTAAAGACACAAATTTTGCGAAAACTTGTTGTCAACAGGCTTGAGGCACGGAAATGTAAGTGAGCAAGTTATATATTTCGCGGTAGCTCATTGAGTTGATTACCTGATTTCACTGTGGAATACATGCGATTGCTCATTGGGTTTATGAAACCGAATTTGAGAAGCACATTAGAATACGCAGAGAATAAGCGCAAAGTGCGGACATAGACAAACCTGAATAGTAATGATGGTATCTTTCTTTTTTGATCTAGGATTCGAGCGGTATTGAGAGAATGTATATATTTGTCCGGTGGCCATACTATCTCACACTCGACGAGATATTATATTCCGGCTTATTTTTCAAAAAGTTGTTGTCGACGGGCTCACGAAAATTCAACTATTCAAACTGTATTTTCGTAGTACCAGCTGTATTGCGGTCACATTCCAGAAAATCTTTTTGTACTAAAAATATTCGTATAATCATTGCTTATATGGTATTTTTTCAAGATGAATTCCATTATACAGAGAATAAAGTCATTAGGAGAGAAATACCTCAGACTTTTTTCACGGACTCAGACCCGCCATAACTTCCCCGGAAAGCGTGTTAGATCTAGTTAAAGTGATCTAAACTGTTTCACGAGCTCTATCGTGTCTTGCATTTCAACTTTTAGTCCTGGAAGCGGCAAATTTTGGCCTGTTGTTTTTAGTAACTGAGGGTATAACTTCTGCAGACACCAAAAAGAAATTTAGTATGGAAAAAAGTGTGGCAATACATCCAACTGAAACAATGTAATCTGTATTTAGCATTGTAAACTGAATGGCAGGTACATTTTTAATTCTTGGCCACTGGAAATAGCTACAGAATATTAACTAACAGCTTTCGTTTTGAAATATCCACAATGACCAACATCGTTTCTGAGACATGTTCTGCTCTGTGAGAGACAAATAAATCGATTTCGATTATTAAAGCAACTTCCATGGTTAATTCAGGAATACAATGTGGGAATTCGGACTCTATTTCCAAATCTTAGTTTATTCCAACAAACAATTTGCAACTGTCATCTCTGAACCGACTGAGAGAATATAACATATTGAACGATGCATCTGTTGAATGGTGCAAAACTATGAAAGAGATCAGTGAAAATGATTGCTGCACTCTTGTAGCCCTATTGATTTTTCAGTACTGGGTTTTGGAACAAGAACAATATATTTTTCTGTATAGACTGCAAAAATTGATTATTTTTCACCATTGAAGAGGGCGAGAGTATCATTCAGTAAAGATAACGGGCAAATACCGGCCAAGTGTTTCCTAATGGGCTGACGTTGCTGACCACTCATCTGATTTACCCACTTATTTTTTTTCCTTGTCTGAGAGTTTCAGTACGACAAACGCCAGCAAGGAAGTGTGTGGCAGAACATTCAACTGAAACAATGCAATCTGTACATAGCATTATAAACAGTATGGAAGGTACATTTTAAGCTCTGGCTACTGAATATAGCTGGAGAGCAATAGCTATCGCTGTGGAACATTCACAATGACACATATAGTCCCAAGAGACTTGTTGTGCATTGTGGGATACAATAAGAAGGGATTTCCTCAAGTGCTTAGTGACGTATTGTCTGATTTGATTGTGAATTACTACAATTGTATTTCGATTCGCAGCTTTTGCGGAAGCACAAAGGGGTTTATAAAACTGAATTTGGGAAGCACCTCAGACACAAGACATAGAAAAAATGCTCGTTTATACATTTGGTAAATCACGTACATTAAACCAGAATAACCACTATCTATGTTTTCTCAGGTCTGACTGCGTGTGACATTGAAAGTGCGGACAAAGACAAACCTGAATAGTAATGATGGTATCTTTCTTTTTTGATCTAGGATTCGAGCGGTATTGAGAGAATGTATATATTTGTCCGGTGGCCATACTATGACACACTCGACGAGATATTATATTCCGGCTTATTTTTCAAAAAGTTGTTGTCGACAGGCTCACGAAAATTCAACTATTCAAACTGTATTTTCGTAGTACCAGCTGTATTGCGGCCACATTCCAGAAAATCTTTTTGTACTAAAAATATTCGTATAATCATTGCTTATACGGTATTTTTTCAAGATGAATTCCATTATACAGAGAATAAAGTCATTAGGAGAGAAATACCTCAGACTTTTTTCACGGACTCAGACCCGCCATAACTTCCCCGGAAAGCGTGTTAGATCTAGTTAAAGTGATCTAAACTGTTTCACGAGCTCTATCGTGTCTTGCATTTCAACTTTTAGTCCTGGAAGCGGCAAATTTTGGCCTGATGTTTTTAGTAACTGAGGGTATAACTTCTGCAGACACCAAAAAGAAATTTAGTATGGAAAAAAGTGTGGCAATACATCCAACTGAAACAATGTAATCTGTATTTAGCATTGTAAACTGAATGGCAGGTACATTTTTAATTCTTGGCCACTGGAAATAGCTACAGAATATTAACTAACAGCTTTCGTTTTGAAATATCCACAATGACCAACATCGTTTCTGAGACATGTTCTGCTCTGTGAGAGACAAATAAATCGATTTCGATTATTAAAGCAACTTCCATGGTTAATTCAGGAATACAATGCAGGCATTTGG